ATTAGCAACGGTATTGAATTTGACCTTGGCAGAGATTATTCTGTAACAGCATCTCATTTGACATGACCTTGCAATGGGGTGTGTCGTTGAAATTTCATGGATGCACTTTCAACGGATCCGGATAGTTCGCATAGAGAACCAATTTATAAAACGATGTAACGTTTAGAATATTTGTAGACGTACTCCCATTTTCGTCAACAATTACTGGTACATCTGTATGGCCCTGTATCTATATGACCATCCTTTCGGCGCAACACACCAGCTTCACAGGCACGCGGCGCGGCGGCAGCTGGCTACATTAGTCATTACACCGATCGACATGGTATGATTCATATCGTTGGCAAAAGGACAACATGGGGTGGTCCACCTCCTTGGATGGACACAATTTTACGTGTCAGACTTTGATTTTGAACCCTACTTGCAGACTATGGCATAAAGCCAACTGGAGTCACGAGCTTTGTATGCACAGTTGTACCCTGCCAAGTACACTAGCAAAACGAACCGCGTTGCAAATCAGTGCAGCAATTATTATAATACTGATACGTTTGTAAACGATTTCCTTTCAAGTTTTAGCGTGCCTCTTGAACTAAGCACGGCTTACGTTGTGGGCTCTTAGCTTTCAGAAACTCTACTTAGCTATTAATCTATTATTTGGCCCGTCTTGCTAAGTACATCTAATGGCCTGGTAATGAATTATAAATGGAACTTTCATCCCTAATTATGTCTCGACCCGAAAGTGACATTTTCAAGATGGCCGCACTCAACATAATTCATTTAGTGACGATTTCACGCCGGATTGGAACTCAATCTTTTCAGACCGATATAGAAAATTACATAATCTTAACAGCTAGTTATTATTTCTTGAAACTACCGCAATGACTGTAATACCATAACTCCAATAATACTTACAAAATACGGCAGTCTAAATCCAATTGGTTGAACTGGATATTATTTTAACCGAAGTCAACCAACCTGAAGCATGCTGTTTCCCTTTTAAACCACCCCCCATATGTTAGTCATTTAACCGTGACAGTCGGACCCGGAAAGGTCATTGACCTGCAGTGGTATTTTTGGGGAGGGCAAGTCGCAACAGTCTCTCACAGCGGGCAGACTGGGGAGATCAGGTCAGAAGTAAGTGAGCTTAAAATTCGTTTTCTTAGGATACAAACTGACTTTGTTACAAGTATGCAATGTTGTGATGTATAATTAGCTCCATGTACATGACTTACAGTGTTAGATGTTTATCATAGAGTTCAGCCAGGCTTCTCCGTAAGGACGTCGAAATTGTCCTCCTGTACATGTCCCGGGACATACGGGACTGGGATGGGGTGGGGGTCTTCAGTAGATCTCCCCTGTCCGTATTTAAGCCAAACACATAAATGCACACTAATATCTAGGCCTCTATCAAATATTAAAGTTAACAGCTTGCTCAAACTGCTTGTACTTCCCCGCGTTTTCGGGTCAGTAGTTTTTCACTTCGGTAAGGGGACGGTCCCAAAATTGAATCTACAGATTGCTGTAGACCTATTAAAGCGATATCTAATCTACATAGTATTTTCAGTACGTTTTTCCTCTGCTTAATATATGATTCCATCATTATGTCATTGTGACCTGCAAATAGAAATTTAACTAGTACTAAATTTCGCAACGAGCACGGCATTCGAGTGATAACATTACAATCCAATAAAAAATTATCTGTATTTGTCACATGGCACATCGTCGCAGACAGTGTCAAATGTGATAGCCTGGAATCCAGCCTGCTTGAGTATTGTTGCTCATGCCTTAGACCTATTAAGTATTAACATTACGAGAATGGGACCTAGGACCTAGGTTTTAGTATTTGTTTGTTGTCTCCTATCCTAGTACAGTCCTCGCTCTAGTCACATACGGGTGTTGGGAGCCTAATATGGCCGTGCCCTAATTTCTGCGGGATGAACTGATGTACATGTGTAGCGATAACTCTGGATATTTGCCGATAAATATTTATGTACCAAAGTGGGAACCGTTAAATTTTAAAATGTAGGCCGCATGTTTGAAGCTTGCGAACACAAAATAACAGTTTCACATGGTTAGGGCTTTCTAGGGCTGAAACGATTGGGTTTTTTGTACCATAACAAAATATAAGGTACCGGACATATTGTAAATACAGAGGTTACACTAATTCAGCCTACTGTGTAACTTATCATTTGAGAATATTTGCTTCGACTCAAGCTAGTCAAATTATGCTCACTTCAAGTTCCAGATGCTAACGTTATATTCCGATGGTGCAAGTTCAAGGTTAACTCGGCTTTCTTCATGCATATTCAAGTGTGTAGGCATTGAACCCTGAGGCGAATCGACCCTTTCTCCTGTTCTTATTTCCGTAATTATTTCTTAACCTTCCTTGACAAACAGTTCTCTTGGTTTGGTTGGTATGTCGTGTATGTATGTGTGTGCATATATACATTTAACAGATTATGTAACACTTATATAAGGAATGGTAAATATACATACGGAATGGCATGGTAAAGTTGGCAGTACTACAAATATAAGCTATTTATTTAAAGAAGCCACCAAAACTTACATAACTTCCAAACGTTTACAGACGAAAACAAAACCCACACATTGAAGAACCCACACTTCGTCTTCCAGTCCTTCAAAAAGAAGTCGAACCCAAAATACTTAAGATTGTATTCTGTAGCAATTTTAAGAATAGTGACTTGTTCCATTTGAGACAATTACTCTATACATATACCATGTTGCAGTTAGCATCGGGCATGAATTTGCAAATGCTAATTGCTATGATGTTACAGCTTATGTAACCTCATGGTTATAACATGTATGCATACCTGGAGTCGTTGTACCCCTTCCCCTCCGGCGTTACATCGATAGTTGCAGTGCACACATTCCAGGTCCCTTATCACTACGTGGGATCTGTGTACGGATTCACCAGCGTGTTATATATACAGTATCCTACACCACAGACTAAACCGGGTTTGACCTTAAGCTTAGTAACGTACGCCCAGCTGTGAGGTATATTCTTGTATTCCCTGTTTTAGTCAATGATCTTTTTGTTTACATTCGGCAAAGAGGTTATGTTTTTTGGTGTGTGTGTGTGTGTGTGCGCGCGCGCACGCGTGTGTATGTATGTATTTATGTATGTATGTAGTTTAGAGCGATATATAAAGTCAAGAAGCTATGAATGGATAGTCATGAAACTTAATATGTGGGTAGGTGTTGATGAAACCTCAAAAGGATTCCATTTTGAGCATCTAGCGGCTCTTTAAGGTACTGCAGCGGAACTTCCTGTGTTGATATCTCATGATCTGGACAAACTAGGGTCATGGATTTTGGTTGGTAGATGTTTTTTTGTGCCTGGGAAGAAATGACATTACTTTGGTCCCCCTAGCGGCTTATTTAAGATTACAGCACTTGCTGACGTTACAGTGTCATATCATGTTGGTGATAATAGATATGATATCAACATGATTTACAATTTGTACTACAGCCAACTTCACCATACCATTCCTTATATATGTAGGCTTTATCGCACATGCAGTGAAAATATGCTTATGGTTTCACTTTGACAATCATGACATCATCAGCGTAACGCACATGTACTATAAATCAGATACTTTAATTGGATGTTCCATTTTGGGTCCACGTTAACATGTATTTTTTACCTTCTGTATCAAATGAATATCTCCCCACCCTTTAGACTGAGTACCAGGCTCCGGCGCTTAGCTAGAATAGAGCATGAAGGACATTATACACTGTGTATAATGTCCTTGCATAGAGAAAGAAAATTCAGTGATCCCGTCAACCGGTAGCCTTGCTGCCAGACCCCGGCTCGACTCAATATTCCCGTCGGCCGGGGAAGCCACAAGCCCCGATCCCAGAGTTAGCACCTGGGGGTCTAACTTATGTCTCTCGAGTCTATCTGGTTTCTATGGTACATTCGGAGCCGAGGAGCTAGCCTTTATACTGCCCCTGGCACCAGCCTGGCGCCCAGGCTAGTCGACTGGCTCTCCCGCAACACGCCCGGCCGGCGCACGGAGTTGGCAAATTAGCCCCCGGATGCCAACTCTATCTGTTATCGGGGCGTGTGGGATTCGCGCGGGGGTCTGGCATCCAGGCTACCCGCCTTGATGGCACCATTACGTCAGGACGTGTTCGTAATCGTTTACGGCGTCCCACGTGTGCTCTGAACAAGCTTTATGCAAATTAGTACCCCTTTTGCCCGAGCGCATGGCTTGGTGCGGGGCAGAAGATTAGCAGAAGTGGCACAAGGAACAGTGGGTCTGAGGTCTTGAGTCTTTCCGATCCGTGGACCGTGGTAAAGCGAATTCTGTAAGAATAGCCTAGACTATAAGCGTCATAAGTTACCGCATTGTTACCCCACGCCAAGAAAAACGTACCGGTGAGTTCGTATATACTGCCACTTCTTCCTAATTTTACTTCGGCTGCGTTACAACTTACATGTGCGATGCCTAAATTTTCTAGATCTACGTACCTCGATCGAGCGAAGGCATGTTTAGAAGAGTATATAGTGGCAAAACCTGCCATTTATAACACTTTTACTACTAGTATTTGTACATAATCACTCACTAGAGTGTAATTTTAAAACATACTGGGAATTCCAATATTCTCATTGATAACTGTAGTCAGTATACTAGTAATTCTACATGCAATGTTAGAATAGGTCATTGTACAATGTCGTGGCAGAATCTTATGCCACTCACTATATAACTGGTTAAAGTAAAACGTTGTTAGAAGAGGTACAACGTCGCGACAGAATCTTACACTACTCAGCGCTCACTATAATAGACCAATGTAAAACAATGTTAGAATAGGTCACTTTACAATGTAATGACAGAATCTTATGCTACTCATCATTATTGGCTAGTGTAAAACAATATTAGAACAGGTCATTTTACGATGTCGTGACAGAATCTTATGCTACACACGAAGCAGTGAACTTATTCTGACCTGCCTGTAACTGTTTCACCCCGCAGGAGACTTGGAATCTGCCCGATTGCTTCACCAGACATTCTTCGCATCGCTCAAGACCTGTGGACACAGTCTCAGCTTCTGGAGCTTCGCCAAGTCTTCAGGCGGTTCATCAGTTTCAGGCAAGACACCATGGAGACTTCTTCGAGGGAAGACGTTAAAGGAAACGCGGTGGGTGCCAAGAAGCCTCCGAAAGATCCTCAAAGTGTCAAAGGACGAAAAAATCGTCCAATGGGTCGCCCGCCAAGACCTTCTTCAAGTTCCACAACCGAGAAAACTTTTAAGGAGGCACAGCAAGTGCAAGGGAGGGCGAGAATGGTGCGGTCAACAGAAAGGCATTCAGGCATTGGTAGCCAGTTCGAGATACCTTCGGGTTTAGGAGTGGCAAGAAGAGTTGATGATCCTGGTCGAGAGGTGCCTAAAACGCCAAAATTTAACCAAGAGAAGGCAATCGTGAGCCGGAGTAGTAGATATCCTCGACCGGCCGGTGTTAGTACTAGCAACGCCATGGCACGGGTTAGGGATCCATCTTTAGGGGCCTCGACTCTGAACAGAAGCATTTCACAGCCGATGGGTTCTGAGCAGAAGTTTGCGGAGAGTGTAGCGTTTGCTGGGCAGCACAGCGAGGGTTTGATGACCGCTAGTACCAGCTTCACTCCCAGCAGTGTGTCCGGGCCGCTTGTACCGTACAGATCCGCCGGCGACCCGTCTCAAAGTCCCGCTCAGGACTCCTTTCTGACCAAGTTTAGGCAGAAGTACGCTCACCTGCTAGGCCGCCCCAAACCTTCTATTGCCAAAAAGGAAGAAATCTCTCCTAGACCACAAAGACGACTGGTTTCAACAGGTCCCACGGTTGGCTCATTCAAGCCTATCGCAGCCCCAGAACTTAGCAGTGGAGTACTGCTGCCACGTGGGGAGTTCGCGCAAGGATACGTGGAAACGGAATCTAGATATGTACAGGAATCCTCTGATGAAGAGGTAGTTCTAGCGCCGGGGTCTGACGTAGATCTAGAGGAATATGCGACGTTTGCAGCCGCAGAAACTGACGAAGACGTCCCAACAGAGACGCCGCCGCCTGGGGGTTACGTCAACGCCTTGTACTTGGAGACGCCAGCAGCGTCTAAGTCAACTCCTGACAGGAGCACTTTAAGTGAGTACTGGATAATATATGGAGGCAAATTTTGTTTGACTGAATTTTTTGTCTTTCTGTTTTTCAAGGCAGCGTAGGATATCTAAGTTTCTTACTCAAACACATCCATATATATGGTCAGACATGAGTCTAAATCCCTCCTGCTATAAAATTGCAACATGATGTAACCCAACACTAGTTACCAAGGTAAAGGTCTGGTTCAGGGCATTGACCTTTTTGGGTTGGAGATGAAGAGGAAACAGAGCAAAAACAATATGTTTTCGTTAGGTAAACATAGACTTTGTCATATTTCAGCCTTGTCCGTGGACGTGAAACTGACCTCCCCTACGTCCCCCGGTGACCCCACCATGCGAGTCGCCGAGTCGCTCTTCCAGGCCAACATCAAGGACGAACAGAGGCGACAACTTCTCCGGAAAGCCTTGGCCAAATTCCAGGGCGTCCTGACTTCCGTCGGCAGCGGCCGGGTCGGTCTTCACTTCTTCACGGTGGAACACCTGGACAACTTCTGGGCGAAAGTCAACCTGCCCGGGGCGGGGAGTGTGTCCGATCGTCTGGACGCCGCACTGATCACGGACCAGATGAGGGTAGCGGTGCTGGGGAGGAAGCTGGCCGTGAAAGTCAACATAGATGAACAAGAGTACATCTCCGTACGGAAACGGCTCCGGAAATGCACGACTTCTGGTAAGTAATTGTGTGTGTGATAAGTCGGTAAAGGTTATAATAATTAGACACCCAGCCCAGGTAATACATTACACCAAGGACATTATACAGACACCAACAGTTTCATAAGCAACTGGACATGATTTTGGAAACGTTCAGTCGTTTCTGGTAGCGTTTTTTTGAGTACGATGATAACATTTTACAATTGTTGCCGACGGATCAAAAAATGTATCACAAGAGACCGTGAGACTCAGAAGTAAGTTGCTAAAAACCTTTTGGTCCATGAATTAGCTTGTAAGCATTTTGAATTGGAAGAAATAACCGACACTCTGCCGTAAACGTTTGTCTGTGTTGATAGTTACATGTTTAGAGTTAAAACTTTTGTTCCAACACAAAGGATTGTTCTCAACTGAGAGCTTTCGACCAGTCACTCTGGTCTTCTTCGGTAGACTGATGACCCAGTGAGACTTGTCACGTGGCTTTTGTGAAGTGTGACGTCAACACTTGGTCAAACAACCGTCACTCTTGTTCCACAGGTATCCGGAGAACCATGACTCTCACCAGAAGTTGCTTCGCCAAAGTCAAAACTGACAAAAAAGAGAAAGAGCGTGACGCGAAACCCTGTTTGACAAGTCTCCTGAGGGACGAGGACATTCTGAAGCTTCTGCGGGTTTCCAAACAACGAGATCGCAAGATCAGAAGGTTGGAATCAGGTTCAGTATGTAGTATGAGGCAATTTGGCATGAGGAGGAGTCATTCGTGCGACCAGATCGAGCGTGATGAGACGCCATTTTCTTACAGCAGGCGATCATCTGCGGTGGGGATTAGAGCAGCCACGCCACCTGTCGGCGGAATGAGAACTGCAACACCACCTGTCGGCGGACTGAGAACTGCAACACCCCCGGTGAGGCCACACAGTATGGACATTTCTCTTCTCCAACAGGGACAGGGCGTAGAGAAGCTGCCTGGTTTGACTGACAGACTGCAGAAGATGGAAAGCGTGTTGGAGCAAATACGGAGGCTCGTCGGGCAGAACATCGATGAGGACACTGAATTTGGAGGTCCAAGAGGCCCAGACGAAGCTCAAGGTAATGTTTTACAATCCCTTTGTCTTATTACCTTCGTCCAGAAGGTTGTGTTTTCAGGGGCGTTCGTGTGTCTCTGTGTTTGAACTCGATAACTCGAGAAGACCTTCATGGATTGTCTTGATATTTGGTAGGTGGGTAGGTCTTGATGACACCTCAAAATGATAACTAGTAGATTTTGGGCCCCCTGGCGGCTTGTCATGGCACTGCAGCAAAACCTCTGGTTTTGATATCTTATGATCCAAACATGCTAGGGTCACAAAATCTAGATTGTAGATAGCTCTTGGGCTGGGGATGAAGTGACATGAGTTTGAGCCCCCTAGCTGCTTGCTCTGTAACTGCAGGGGCGTAAGTTGAAAATGTCTTTTTTTGTCAAATGTGCCATGTATTTTTTGTACTAGGTCAAAATCATAAAAGCATCCTAATGTCTACTAGTGAATGGTGTTCATGAACAACAAACACTGACTTGTTTAGTAGGCTAATTCGTCTGTTCTTTACTTGACAGAGTCGTCGTTGCGCCCTGACGTCGTGCGTGACTTGGAGCAAAAAACCGAATCAAGACGTTTTCCAGCGAAGAGAGAAAGCCGCATCAGGCCAGGTGATGGGAGGTCGGCAGTTGGTCCAATGGGAGGCATCAAACAGGCAGAACAGGGACCCTCGCGTGTCATGGGCGCCCCTAGCGAGGACCCTGATATTACAGGCACAGAACTTGTACCCGTGAACTCTGCTCAGATCTCACCGACCTCCAGTGTCATAGACACCAACAGGGACACCGTCAAGGGAAGCCAGTCCTTTCTTGAACGACTTCGCAAGAGACAGAAAAGCAAGGAATCTATGAGAATGAAGCCAGAGGATATGCAAATCGTCAGCAAAACGAACGAACCGTTAGGCAACTCTGACAAAGGACAGAACTTCGTTCCCTCACAAGAGTTGAAAGAAAACCTACACGAGCACATGGATGTCCAAAGTCTGGACTTGTCTGGTCAAGAACTGAAACAGTTGCCGGAGGAGTTACGACAGCTTGCCGATCTCGTGCGCTTGGATCTCAGTAACAACAAGTTCAAGAAGTTTCCTACCGTGCTACTGAACTTGCCTAGACTGGAACACGTGAACCTCAGCCGGAACACTCTCAGTACGTTTCCGATGGAGACTCGATTGATGAGGTGTCTACGTAATTTGCAAATGACCAACATGGCGCTGGATGAGATGCCGAACGAGCTGTGTGATCTGAGCAGTCTTGAAGTGCTGAACATCCGCGACAACAACCTCACGCGTCTGCCTCGTGACATCGGGAGACTGAAGAAGCTGACGACTCTGCAGTTGTCTTGGAACAAGTTCGAGACTTTGTCGGAATCGGTGGGTACATCTTCTTACGTCCATGAAAAATGGAAGTATTGTTTTTGGTATGTGTGTGTCCGTGTGTGTGTCTGTGTTTCCGTATGGCCCTTAGGTCAGGTTGTTATGCATATAGTTGGATTCTGTCTTTCCCAGAGGGAGAAAGTCATTAATCACGCCTACATCTGGTAGCGCTCGTTATTTTCACATTTGTTTTTCGTTACATGACCTTGACAGGTTATTGTCCGTTTCGCATGAACGTTCTCTCAAATTCACACAAGACCTACATTTTATATAGAACTTAGAAGCACGTGTTTTCTTAGAAGGTTTGTGACCTTTTAACTTTGTCTCTTCGAACAATCTCGCATGTTTCCCACAAATCATCCTTGGATTGGGCAATGGCAATGGCTGTATTGGGGACCTGTGGACTTGACGTGTTTTGTTGGGTGCTGTTTTGTGGGGGTTCGAGTGTATGTGCAACCAGGTACAGCCTGTTAGCCTTGTTCCTGAACCCTCTTTGCGTTCTGCCATATTTACCCAGCAAAGCTAAATCCCGAGCTCTACGTTGGCCTATTGCAGGAGTTTCATACGAAGGAACGCTGTTTTCTGTTTGAAGTTTAGGTGCTTGATACTTTTTATTGGTCTCGTACATTCTAGTAGTAGTAGCCTTCTTTCTGAAACCTCTCTGTATCCTGCCATATTTACCTAGCAAAGCTAAGTCCCGGGCTCTACCCTGGCCTATTGCAGGTGTTTCATACGAAGGGACGATTTTCTCTCTTTGACGTGTAGGTTCTTGGTTCTTATCTTCGTACATGTCAGTAGCAGTCTCTCTGAAACCTCTCTCTAGCCTGCCATATTTTCCAAGCAAGGCCAAATTTCTTGCCCGACCCTTGCCCATTTTAGATGTTTGGTAGGAGGGAGAGCTGTATGCTCTTTGACGTGTGGGTTCCTGATAATTTTGATTGACAGCTCCGGAAGCGTAGAAAGTATACACGTCATCGTCGTCGCCATCTTGGCCCGGCACCTGCAGTGACAGGGGAACCTACAGGGGGCGTGTTCCGGTGTTCTCGTAGTTGTAGTAGTCATCTTGGATCTCCCAGTAGTGCTGTAGTGACACCGGTCTTGTGTTGTAGTAGTTGTAGTACTCGTCCGGAATTTCGCCGTATTCGTGCTCATCACTAGGAAGCTGTGCGTCCGGATTCATCTCTCCACCGGAACCTGCCGGATCCGGATTGACATCCACAGTGACGGCAGGGCCACTGACCATCCAGCTATTCAAGGACACAAGTCCGAGGGGAGACCCAAGAGAAGCATTGGCTGCAGCCTGGGGGGCGTGGTTACCACTTGACCAACAACAGCCCCGCTTGCTGACCAAATAAGTAAGAAGCAGTGTTACACAAGTGATCACTATTACAGTTATCACCGTGATTAAACCTACACGTAAAAATTTCGACTTGTCTGATGGAACTGTTACACTTTGGGTTGGGTAAGGCTTCGTCTGGTCCGGAGTAGGCTCTGTTGTCTTGGTCTTCGACTGTCTTGTAGTCTTGATCAACCCTTGGTCATCGTCTCCTGCCTGCACTGTGCCAACAGGAGTGGTGAAGACATGTAGGTGGATCTTCCCCAAGACGTCGACTAAGCACGTCACATTCTTTATCTGTTCTTGTCCAGTTCCGTTTGTGCCGAATGCATCGACGTATGACACGTTGCTGTTGTCATCATCAATTTTGCCATCAGATAGAATCACAGCGACGCCTTGCGATTGGTGGGATTTGCTTGCACTGATGGCAACAATCCGTAAGTTAAGATCTCGGCCCACAGCAACATTTACGCTTCCAACATCGTTCCAAGACTCTTTGCATAAGCTAATACCTTTTATATCGTGTTCTTCCGATTCAATATCATTTGTGACGATGGCAATTGGTAGATGATACATCTTCTTGTCTGCTGCAGACAACCCAATGCTCAAGATTCGACATTGAAGGGTTGGGTTCCTAATTTGCCGATTGAGGGAAATAGCATGGTGCACTTGAACGTGATATCCTTTCATGTGGGGACCTTTTGAAATGCAGAAAAGTACTCCGTTCACTGTTACTGCAACGATCTCTACTATACGGCGATGGCTGTAGTCAAGCGTCCAGTTCAACACGAAATGAGCTGAAGCATCAAGAGAATACAGTACCTGATTCCCAATGTCTAATTCTTTCAGTTCGGACAACCCCTTTATTGTATCTCTTGACAGACATTTCAACGGATTGTTGTGTAAGTATAAGTTGTGTAGGTCTCGAAGGAACATAAACGCACCCGGGCGAATGTTCTGAATAAGATTAGATCTCAGAGAAAGATGGCCCAATTGTTCTAGTCCAGTAAACCAAGATGGCTGGATGCTTCTCAACGAGTTATTGTCAAGAACTATCGACATTAGACTGGAAAGGTTTTGGAAACATGAAGGATCTATATCGCTTATATTGTTGTGAGACAAAGACAAACGTTGGAAATATTTCGGGTGCTTCAAACTGTTAAACCACTGTTGTCTGACTTCAGTCAACTTGTTAGAAATAATTTCTAATGATGTTAATTGAGGAAAAGCTTCTAGGGCGTGGTCTTCCAAATCTGTGATTCCACATTCGAAAAATGCGAGGAACTGTATTATTGAGTGTTGAGGCGGTTTGAGTTTCCCTGCTGTAAGTTTTCCAAGCGGGAGTCCTCTAACCGCTACATGTATGTTGTCAGGAAAACATGTTGAGGTTGCGTGAGAGAGCTTCGTGTCATCAAGTACATGTGGTTGCTGTAACTGGGTAGTGCATATGATACAAGCGACGTCTACTGGACCTATACTAGGACGTGACTTGCTGTTAGGAAGGCATTGTGACCATGAGTTTGTATTGTTGCACCCAGGAAAACACGTTATGTCTACACTTCCACATCCTGTCAGAATGAGAAAAAGAACTGCTGCTACCTGTTCCATGGTCTTCATGCTTGATTTACGAAGGTCTCTTGGTCTTGGTCTGTCCGGGTTCAGTCGCAGGGTTGTTTGTTACGCCTTCACTGTACAGAATCAGACATCAAAGCATGCTTAACTACATTCGTAAACAAGACTTAAACATTTGAATATAGATATCCTTAAGTTACATTGAAGCAGTAGCAAATGCCACAGCTGAAACAAAGTCCTCAGTTGAAACCTGTTGAATTAATTGCTGCGTGTCTAGCCTGGTATACCGGTATCCAATCTACCGTGGTTGGGGCGGGCTGTCTTCGGGGCTCTAATAGTTTCCCCCCGCCCAGCTCAACAGGACACCCGGTGGGAGTCTTACGCCTGTAGAAGCTTTCTAATAAACTTTTGTACGCTTTACCTAGGAGTTAATTATGGTGGGGCTAATTGAACTCCCATCGTGCAAAACCTACCGGGGAACCTAGCTGATTCGGGCGGGGAAGAGCTCCTTCGGCCCCGAAGATCACCCGCCCCAACCGCGATAGACTGGACACCAAGCTACTACATGTCAGGTCTTCTGACTGACCAAGTCATATTTAATCTGTAGACCAGTCCTTGGCCCAAATTACGATCTCCATGCGTAAATGCCTTCCGCTCTGACGAGACACACAAGAATGTATCACGATAGACCAATTTGAACATCGAAAAGGCCAATGCATATATTATCTGTGAAATGGTGAAAACTCTCACATACCTTACTCACAGGAATCGAAACGCAGGAATCTTCAAGGATGACTTCTATCTGTCTCGTGTCTCAAAACACCTGTGGTAGGTCAAGGCAAGCATCTTAGGAACTTCTTGCCTACAGGGATGTTTGATTACAATTCCAAGACCAGCCCACACACACTATCCAGCCACCAATCATTTTGTGTATCATCTATACATCACTTAATTTTATTCATTGTCTGTTGGTTTTTGTCTGTCTCCAAGGAACGTCTGGCGTAAACAATTTTAGCCCAAAACTAGAGTTCCCCGATCTCATACCTTCGCCAAATGATGTTAAACTTTATGACTGACAAAGTTTAGATTAGATTATTCCCCCCTGATTTAAGAAATAGGAACCTAATTTTCATTAATTATATCATTTTATCATAATCTCAGCCAAAAGACAGTCTTATATTAACAAAGAATGCATTCTAGCATTTCCTAACAAATTATGCAAATGAGGTCCTGATTTGAATAAATTATGTTCAATGATGTTCATCTCAATTTAACTTTCAAATACCACAAGTATGAAATTCCAGGCAGTTATCATTACATAATTATAAAATTTTCTCATTAATTATGCAAATTAAGTCATTATTAACATAATCAACATCTTCCTGTGTTTCTCTCGTTGTCAATTACCAATGTCACAAGCTTCAATTGTCCTATCATGGAATGCAGCTGATTTATAGAATTTCCCCATAAATTATGCAAATTACATCCATATTTGCATAATTGTGACATAATTATATTAAGCATCACGTAAGCTACCTACATACCAAAAATCACGACGATCCGTCAACCGGTTCTTGAGTTATCCCCTTTTGAATATTTTCAAGAATTTATTCCTGCAGTTCCAGAGCAAGCCGCTAGGGGGCCTAAACTCACGTCACTTCTTTCCCAGCACAAGAGCTACCTACCATCTAAATTTCATTACCATAGCATGTCTAGATCATGAGATATCAAAACCGGAAGTTCAGCTGCAGTACCATAACAAGCCGCTAGGGGGTCCAAAATCTAATCATTTTGAGGTCTCATCAAGACCTACCCACCTACCAAGTATCAAGACAATCCATAAAGGCCTTCTCAAGTTATCGTGTTTACAGACAGACAGACAGACACACACACACACACACACATACACGAACGCCCCTGAAAACATAACCTTCTTGGCGAAGGTAATTAGGAAAACCACCCCACTTCAACCTAAACAGGCTTTACACTATTTTGACAGTCACCGAAGCATTTTGACGATATTATGTATTTTACATTTAAGATAACGCGAGCACGAACCACCTGCAAGAATTTAAACGTTTCCTAGTAAATTTAAATAGAACTTCTATCTTCTACACAAATATAGTAACAATCGTAAGTTCCAAGTCTTTAACTACATGTAGCTGGACCAAGTTTCTCTTGCGTACATTAACAAAGCTAATTTTGTGTAAACTTTACTGTTGACTAAGTAGAGTTTGAAATATCTGTAAATGTACACATACATACATTATCATATGTTGGTACTTTTATCATTTAGGCACTGAGGGATATTGAAGAATCTTCTACAAATATTACCCTTTCTACCCTTAGAGATGCGCTAGTGTTAACTAAGTACATTTTGAGATTTCTGTAAATATACACAATGCATACATGTCTTATTCTGTTTGTGTACTTTTATCATATAGGCACTGACCAATATTGAAGAATCTTCTACAAATATTCCCTTTTCTGCCCTACCAGGTGTGTGATCTAGCCAGTCTGGAGGTTCTGTATCTAGACTATAACCAGTTGAGGGACTTACCGCAGGGCCTGGGCAGGTTGGTGAGGCTGAGGGAGCTGTGGCTGTCCAGTAACCAGATCCGGCACCTTCCTGAAGAGGTACGTCCTGTCACTGTTACATGGGAACGGCTGGGGGGGAACTGATGAAACCGAAGTCGACCAATCCCGTAGCTCCGCCGAAACTTATACAACCGAAGTTGACCAATCCCGTAAGTCGACTGAAACAGATACAACCGAGGTCAGCTGCAGCCACATGTCCATATTCGGCTGGACTGTCAACTTTGATTGACAGCCCGGGCAATATTGGACGAATCCCGTAAGTCGACTGAAACTTATACAACCGAAGTCGACCAATCCGGAAGCTCGGTCAAAATGCATATATGCAAATTTCTAATGGCATGACGCGCCCAGCTGCAGCCACTCACTCACTCACTCAGTCCTCTTGCACGATGTGCGTCGAGCCTACTAGGCGGGCCACCTCCCTCCATCTCGATCTGTCCTGGGCTACCCCTGCGCTTCTTCAGGGGTGATGTTGGCCAGGGCCAGGTCCTTGGCCAGGACGTCTGTCCAGCGGGTGCGGGGGGCCCCCCGAGGTCTCTTCCACCCAGCAGACTGGGGGCTGAAGTTCAGGATAGCCCAGCTGCAGCCACATGCCCATATTTAGCTGGACAGTCAATTTTGATTCACCTCCTGGGCAATACGTATTTTAATGATATTGCTTATAAAGGGAGAATGCAAATGTAAAACTGTCATGATTATGCTGTGTTTTATATTGTGTTATCTGATGCAATTTATCTGTACAACTGTTGTTTACAGATTTGCCGGTTGCTGAACATCGAAGTTCTTTCTGTCAACAACAACAAGCTGACAGCCTTGCCGGTAAACATCTGCAGCTTGTCCAAACTGTGGATGATGCACGTCAGAAACAACGCCATCTGCCGCCTCCCTGCAGAACTGCACCGCCTGGCCAACCTCCAAGTCATCGACGTATCGGGAAACCCGTTAGATTTCCCGCCGGTTGAAGTCTGTGGTAAGGGGCTGTCTGCCATCATGGGCTTCCTGCGTGACCACGCTTTTCCAGAGAGCGAGGCCGGAACCGGATATGACGGCATCATGACGTCAAGTGCCCACTTCCCCCTGATGAGTTGCACGGTAGCGCCATCTCCAACCGAATCACCGGATTTCATTGATATCTAAGTGCGCGAATAGCATGCCCGTAGCCAGACCCACCCAAAGGCCCATTTTATATCTAAAATACCAAGATTTTTTTTAAAAAGGCGGACTGATTCTGTCCGGACCTGATACCATTTATTGTTTTTGCTCAGTTTCTTCCTCTTCTTTTCCCTGACCAAAAAGGTCAATGACCTGAACCAGATTGCCTGCTACCATGGTAACTAGGGTTGGCCTACATCATGTTGCAATGTTATAGCAGGAGGGATTTAGACTCATGTCTGTATGACCATATACACATATATGAATGTGTTTGAGTAATAATTAACAGAGCAGACCATATGCGACGGTAAACATTATGCATTTGCTTTACAAATGTTACCTTTCTAGTTTTAAATGCCATCATGCCATCCGGATAGACATGTAATCCATCTTCAAATAAAATACTGTGTTAAACATCCGGAAAAATTTCATCAGGTTGGTAGGGCATAGGATACTAGTATATTGATTTTTTTCTTTCAAAACCCGTACGCTTACAACATTGTGTGAAACAGTTATGTGATTGTCTCTTATTTCTGCCTTGAAATCCTCCCCCAAAACGCAGGAAATGGCATTTCAGAATGTTCAATTTGCCAGGGGCCCTCTAGGAAGCTAGTGGCGGTGGTAGGAAGCCCCCCCCCCCCCAATTAAAATGCTGGCTACGGGCATGAAATCATATTAAGGAAATATAATGTGACATCTGGCGTGCACTCAATGTGAGCATCCACTAATAAGCACTCATTGGGTTTTTCGATCACCGTTATACTACGTCAAAGGCTCCAAGGGTGCTCCAGATAGTGTCCAGTACCTGTTGACGTAACAAACAACCCTGCGACTGAACCTGTTAAATTCCTAGAAGAGCCGAATGTTTGACGTCATGTACATAATATTTTCATACGTTGCCATGTAACGAAGTTGTTTGCAGGAACCTGGTTTCCGAATTCACGTAACGTTTGATCAACATCAGATGGTTAGCTCAAAATGCGCAGTATGAATGAAGTGTCTTTTTTAGAATCCTTCATAACCGTTTAAAAAGCATTTGAGAGTTTTGGAAAGAAAACAGATATGACGGCATATATTTAACCTATCTTAGCTTAGAGCAGTATAATAAAATGCTGCACTCTTATTCTATATTTATCGATGATAACAGTACTAAGGGTGATAATGACGATAATGTTGATTATGATGATGGTTATAACGATAATACATGTACTATAAAACTATATTGTTATTGGTGATGAGAGAAATGTTGCTACTTAATTGGTACTGGATAGAGAGAGACATAGAGAGAGAGAGAGAGAGATGCAATATATACATATTAGAGGGATGAGGTGCGCGTAAACTAGACATGTAGAAAAATGTTTTATACCAGTTGAACATGTGAATACATGAACTTGGGTGTCTCTAAAGTTCCCTGTAAATACACTACTAGTATGTTTTCTAGTGGCCACCTGCGTAGTATCTTGTAGCCCACATTCACACACCTTCTGATTGGTTTCAATGAGTTAATGCCCTGTATTGAGGTAAAAATGGCCTGTTTGGCTAGGTTGAGTGTGAAAGAAATTAAAACAATTGTTTGTACTCTCGAGAATAAATAAAAATTGTTTTTCAACATTTGCTTTAGTCCTATATTATTCCTATATCACTCCAAGATCTCCTTTGTCTATGAAGCTGCACTACTTTGTACCCGAACTATATGTGTTTTTACCGAAGCTCGCGGAAGGATATCTATACAAGCTACACTGCGCTCAACTACCAGACGTACTTGCAGTAAAGGAAGAAATCGGTGAGTACCGTTTGGCTTTGCCTCTGTATTTCATATCACAGTTTATGAACTTATTTATTAGAAATAATATTCATCAGTTAGCCCATACGAATTCCTAACCAATTTTTTATATCATACTCCTGGTTTCTTTTTTTAATGGTTTTAAATGGCTCTGTTACGTTTATGTAGTTTAGTAAACCGGGACTTACTGTGTATCTGTTGCATTTAATTGCACTATGAAATCTGTCAATGAATTTAAATCGTACGAATTATCAGAGCTCAATATTAATCTGCGACTGGCTATAGCTGCCATGCTATTTTACAGGGAGCTATTTCAAATGCTTCAAGTATGAAATGACGAAAATGTGTTAAGAAATAGATTCTGAAGTAAATGTTAATATTAGACAGATTTCTATATGCAGAATATTTTTTTTTGTATTGCCGCCCTGAAATCACATTGGACGACTTTAAAGCAAGGACTTTCTTTATTCAACATTGGTTTGTGGTCAGGGCCCAGGGCGCTTAAATCCCTCTTTAAAGCTACATACTATATATCCATTAATTTGGTCTTCCAATCCTCTAGTATCCATGTTGGGACTAAGCCTTGGGACATTCATACTTCCTCGGCTTGGCCTTTGATTTCTTGATTGCTTTGGACCGTCCACTACGGTACAGTACGTGGTTCTATTTGATGATCAGGGACCTTCACAGGTCCGAGTTCCCGCTCAATTTTCTCGGACCTTTTGTGGTGCCATGATTGCTACCAAACGCAATTATCAACCGGCTTATGCCCTTTTTGTTTGATGTAGTCATTGGATCAACTTCTTACATCCAACCTAAGAACAAAACAACTTCGACGGCAAATCTTAAAAAACTTCATTTTCATATCTATAATTTCATGACAGCAGCAACGTTCATTTTTGATGAAACGATACCAGCGGGCATCAAATGAAAGCAAACAAAAAAGGCGGAAGGTCCTTTCAAATTACCTGTTTCCTTGGTAGTTTTCTAATGTTATGTTTCGTTGTCCCTAGAGACAAAATGGCGGGGAAATATGGTCAACTGATGGGTCTAGCAGCGGTGATCTTTTTCACAGTATCCCTCGTCAAGGAGACGGAAGGTACCGTAGATTGATTTCCTACAGAGTATTAATTAGTACCGGAACAGGGCTGGAAACAACTAGCTCACTTACTGTATATCTGTTACACCATAAAATCAGCCAAATAAATTCAACTCACCAAGGCACCGAATACCAAGAAGCCACTCTTCGAGACATTTTAAAACGTTGAAACAACAGTTAGATTTGGCTGCACATGAAAAGTCATCCTCCTTTGAAGAAAAGAATTGATCGAATATGAAGAATTGACCCACTAAGTCTACTTCACATAAAAAGTAACTGTTTTTTTTTTGCTGGTAGCTGTTTCATTGGCTAGTGGTAGTAGTACATTGTTTTGTTGAAAACTAGCATATATATATATATATATCGATGTTACTGGTAGCAAATAAACCTGGTTGTGCTACGGATTTTCAGACATGACATACACGTAAAACACAATGTCTTTTTTCTATGTAACATCTACAGAAAAAGGATAAGACTGCTACTTTCCTTATTTCCTTATTTTTGATTTACTAGGACTCCGTCTTCCTCGGATGGACAACGTCGGGTCATATGACCTGTTTCTGAAGTCTGATCAGAACCGTGATCTTGGGGTATGTATTAATATTACATAGAATATTAAATGTAAATGTAAAAGTTTTTAAATTGTGAATATCGATTTGCGTGTTTCTTGTTGATGTTCTGATGTATCTATGTCTTTTTAAATGTATTCACTGTATTTTCACTGTATTCTCCATGTATGTGATTTTAATGTTTGAGCCTTGGAAGACTAGCCCGGCAGGGCTAAAAGGCTTCGAAATAAATGAAATGTAGTGTGTGTTGTGTATGTATGTATGTTGTGTGTCTAGGCGTCGGCTTATTCCACGCAATAAGTGTTCTCAGCAATTTTATCGGGCTTTCTTTTTTGTACTGGTAAATCGTATCTTTTCTTACCAGCCAAATGGGTAGCATAGTGGATACTGCTCTGCCAATGATACTGTCTTGCCAATTTGATACCTTTCTTGCCAATTATAATCTGATAGTGTCTTGCCAATTTGATACTGCCTTCTCAATTTGATATTGCCTTCTCAATTTGATACTGCCTTCTCAATTTGATACTGCCTTCTCAATTTGATACTGCCTTCTCAATTTGATACTGCTTTCTCAATTTGATACTGCATGGTTAATTTGATACTGCTTGGCCATTTGATTCTGCGTGGCCAATTCGATACTGTTTTTGTAATTTGATACTACATAGGCAATTTGATTCTGTGTGGCGAATTTAATACTGTTTTGTAGGTAACATTCAATACTCACACAACAGACCAGGTGTGACATTTTACTCCCACGGAAGTAGTGACGTTTGAAACGTCTTTTATGGTCTCATTTCCGTCTTAATTAGCCCAGCTGAACAGATGGGAGCATCATTTACCCCCAAGGCAGTATTTTATGCGTTAGGCCATGTTGATTTGATTATATGGATGACATCATATGGGGACAGCAAAACTAATGCGAGCGTGCGAATAAAAAAAAGTTAGGAAAAAGTAGCCTTCATTATGAAATCTACGTGGTCATGAAGGTTGAACAAATGACTAATACACGGAGTATGGTATGGCCAATAATAAACTAGCTTATACTAAATTCACATTTTCTGTTTTTTCTTTCGGAATTTATTTTGGCATTTTACGTATACGTTATTCGTATCGTTTTCCAATATTCTTTTGCAATTTTTGTGGCATATATTTTCTAATTTTGCAGCTGCTTTGTACGGTTTACAGTATGGTCGAAACGTCTTAGGTTTGCTTGAAACGGACGAAAATTCATGCGCGCGCAAATGCCATCCATATAATCAAATTAACATGGCCTAACGGGCCCCAACCCATTCAGATCAAAGAACTGGATAGGCGCGGTTCTGGATACAATAAAGCGCAAGACGAGCCCCTTTTCCTGAGGCTTGTGAGCCACTGAGTACACAGCTGCTACACAGTCATTATCGTACTCCTAGAGCTATAATTAAGAGCGGACATGGAGTGCCCTTTAGAGTTGTGATGTCTCCTCTTCACTTCCTGAAGATCTGACACAAGCTGGCAAATTAAAGGCACCCAGTGTGTGATTTCATGGAAAAATTCTTAATAAGGCAATCTTTGTGATATTGACACATATATATTGCTTCACATTAGCACATTTGAGTCATCATTTTATACTTAGAGCATTCAGAACTGCAGAAACAAGCCCCAAGATGAGTCCTTTATTTTTTGGGTGGTACCCTAAAATCAGTCCAGGGCCTTTTCAGTAACCATTATCCGCCAGAATGTTAGCTTCATGGTGGCCAATATACATTGGGATAGTGTGGTTTCAATTCAGTATGTAGATAAATGACTAGAATATTGGCTTTGAAAAATCGGGTTTCCAGGCCCTAAAAACTGCACTGGATGTCTTTAAGAGCGGACATGTAGTGTCCTTTATTTAGAGTTGTGATGTCTCCTCTTCGCTTCGTGACGCAAGCTGGCCAATTAACGTATCTATTAAGAGAGTTTCGAGGATTCGAAGGACTGCAGAGACCCATCGTTTGAACAGAGTTTCTAATTTACTCCTGTAAATTGGAGATTGCAACATACGGAATAGTAATGAGAGACTAATGAGAATGGTATATCATTATACAAGCCCCGGAGCGTGGTGATATGACACCAGGTTAGTCCGTATAGCAACTGAATAAATGGATAAAGAGATGGTTATAGAAACTGGTGAGGCCTTTTGCCACCATTATAGATATACATCGAGAAAGAAGACGGTGAATATTATCATCATATAGCCGTATAGCCCATGCGATCATTACTTCCTATGAAGATATTTTTGGGGATTCTAAAAAAAAGCTGGTTCAAATTTCTTTATAAAAATTCACCCAAATGATGCAATGGTAATACAGAAAGGAAAGGAAGGAAAAGAAAAGAAAAGGAAGGGTGAACTGGTATAATTTCCAGACTCGAGTGTTGTTTGACATTCTGTTAGACATCGCTAGATGACGTTCTTACCTGTTGTTTTCTGCAGGCAGGTGGGGAGGGGGGCATGGCTGACCCTGAGATGTACGATGTGGAAGACTTCCCCATCATGGAGCGTCGCCGACCGTGTGAGTTCCTGCATCAGTTGACAACATACAAAAAAATTAACTCAGGAAAAATAATTTTATTGAAAACATCTTCTATCATATTTCAACAAAATCCATCTCAAGTATTAACAAGGCAAAGCATGTAAAAATTGCAACAACAATATTGTTATATTATTTATCAAATTGACTAGTTTCATTTCAATTTATTTATTCAATCCAACAAAATCATACAAAAGCAGGGAATGCTAATGAACCCCTGAATTATGTAATTGATTTTTACAATTGAGTGTCAATGTCATTGAGTGTTTTTTTCCCTCTGTACTTTTCAGGCAATGGCTACTTGTGCTGCCTGGCTATGTGCGCCCGGCACATGTTCAGCATGCACCCCGTCATCAAGAACGGGCAGTGCTACTGCTCCTCCTAGCGACTCTGTAGTAAGCTGCAGAGCGGGATCCAGAATATATCACCATGAGAAGCAGTAGTGTGAATTGTTCTGTGAAATGTCCCAGATTAAGTTGTAATCAATAATGTCTTTCACCGATATAGAACAAAACTTCAAAGAGTGGCAGGAATTCACAACATATTCTCAGTAAAATTGTGCATATGATTTTGCTGATCTCCGTATTTGTATCCTCAGATATAGAAGATAAAATAAATCATTTATTGATTTATTTTCTTGTATTAGTGATCACATTTCGAGTTGTTTTAGTTCAAGCTTGATTTTAATTATAAATGGTCAGGTTTTCGAAAGACAACTATGCCCCAAACCCCCTGGCGAGCCTTTAATGACTTCCCCATTCCCCTTATTAAAGACTTTAACCACTAGTATTTGAAGGTTGCAGAAAAAGGTTTTAACATTTTGCCTGTAGCGGCCGGGAGCGGTACTGCAGATTGGACTCTCATGTGGTAATAAAATATCCTAGATTTTACGTCCACTCCGACTATGGAAACGGACGTAAACTAACCAGGATGGTACCGAGGTTAGTCACTAAATTCAGACTTGTAAAATGTAAAGACATACCCATGACATTAGGCTCAAATCCAGTGAGCACTTTTACATACAGATCCAGACGTCTGCACATACATTTAAAATGGCCTTTAAGAGGTTTAAAAACCCTATGTGACATAAAAATAATTTTAACGCCACGTATATTAATATATAATATAACATCACATATTGTACGTCATAAGCTGGCTCTGGATATGCGTGGACAGAATATTGGTGGTAAATGTTTTATTTACAAAATATTTTATATCCTTACGCGCGGGCGTGAATAATATCATCAGGTTGGTGAATTATTGCTTAGCAAAAGTCTTTAGTCACAAACACTTAAACAAGATCCTCATGTTAAACAAATGGTTGTGAATGAAAAACTTCGATATTCAAAAAGCCGTATAGCCTTGAAAAGAACAAATAAACCTATTAAGTTAATAATTCATCCTTTATCAGATTACATAGATTTATGGTCCAATTAAAGTGATTATTGTTTGTGATAAGTGACTTACAATCAGGATGTATAGCACCAGAAAGGCATTATGAAATCATAAAATGTATGTGTGTGTAATTTAGCACGATAACTGAAGAAGGTTTGGATGGATTGTCCTGAAACTTGGTATGTGGGTAGGTCTTGTGTGTGTGTGTGTGTGTGTGTGTGTGTGTAGTGTGTGTGTGTGTGTGTGTGTGTGTGTGTGTGTGTGTGTCTGTCTGTCTTTGTCTGTGTATGGGGGAGGGGGGCTTTTGTCGTCCCGTACTCGTGCCATGCATTATTTGATCAGGCATTCGTGTCTCAAGGACAAACTTGTAACGGCTTCTCACAAACAGTTACACTTTGATGGCCTATCTACAATAAACCTCACGGACAACGTCTGTAAAATACCACATCACAACGCAGCCCGCTACATTCCGATGCGGTGCGTGCTTTTGAAGGTTTGGGTTTGAATAGTTTGGGTGGGCCTAACTGTTGCTGAATCCTAAGCCTGACATTCATCTATGGTATTTTGATTAGTTGCCAACTTGTCATGAATAAGGCAGCTATCCTCTTTCTTTGTAAAAGAAACCTTGATCTCTCACACCTAATATCAAAGACATATTACGTTTCAACAATCCAGTCACGAAAATTCAGCCAGAACAATTTGAGCAGATGTGTGTGCACGTGTCAGGATTCAACGTGTCTGGTGGGATTCAGCCTAAAATAGTATGAAAATAGGTCTATTAGACTTTTAATGACCAGAAGGGGCCAGATATCTAATAATAGCGCTTCGTAAGCGCAGAATGGTACATATGTTGTTCGTATGAAGGCTAATGCCATAGAAGAATGTAGAAAAAGAAACAGTTATTTCAGTATACGGAGGTTTTGTCTATGGTCTGTCTGCATGTTTGTTTGTTTGTTTGTGTAACCTTGGTTACGCGTGTATTTGAATAAAGTAGTAGAGTCACAGGAAGTGAGGAAGGGGGAATTGTGTAACCGCAGACTAACAGGAAACTCGAATTGGAGGTTAAAATGGTCTCTATGGAGGATGTCACTTGTACGGTGGAGGAACTCGATGATACTCGATGATAGCATGTGTGGGGTATGCACAGAAAAAACGAGAAATTCACAATACTGAGAGAAACAAGAAATTCACAACTCTTAATACATCACGGAGGTGTGAAGTCTTTGATTTCTTATTTGTATGAGTAGCTGTGAACGGTGCCAAAGTTTCCTCGTTCTATATTGCCTAACGTAACACAGAAAAGCATTTATACGAACTCTATACCACTTTATCGTTTATGATTGCCGCATTTCTCAGAACTCATGTAGGGTGATTCATGTGCTAATTATTGATCCATTAATATGAGAACTCAACAGGGATACGCAAAATGGCATTTATGATTGACATATTTTTTAAGCCAATAACGCTGATTCATGGGTTAGTCATCGGTACATAATCCACTCAAATTTTGACGGACGCCATTGGTTAAACACTGCCACCTTCGGGAAAACTAACATGTATTCAGTTTCTGCCACATTGAAGCTGGCATGACGTTACAAAATGTCATATATCTACCTTTAAATTCGACGTATCATCCCCTTAGCAAAATATCTGACAGAAAACTGTCAAAATAAATGACTATGTTACCGGATTTGAAAGACAGTCGGTAATTCAAAATGACATTAGCCATTTACGTCTCTCCTACGCTATGTTCTCTGAACTTGTTAATCCTTATGACATAAGGACTAAATTTATGACGTTTGTAAAAGTTTTAGACATTGTCCCAATGGTAGATATTATATGCAGTCCAGCCTTCTAGAATCAAGATTTCTGACGGATACGTAAAAATAGATCTATAAATCTATGCATTATGAGTGCTATAAATAATATAGATCACGTATTCGTGTCTACTTAGCTTTCTGAGCAGAGGTTTGGGTCTTGTCTTATTTTTGGCGTGTTTTTAGGCTTTTTATCTGGCTTTCTTTTTTGCCCCCCCCCAAAAAAACCGGCGTAAACAAACTATACCACAGCAACAAAGGACGCCCGATTTAAAAAAAAGCATAAAAACATGCCACAATAAGACAAAAACCGCAAATACCTCCGCTTAGAGAGTATTCTTGGCTAGAGTTTATGAACTCGGACAAAAAAACCCAGTGATTTTAAGATTTCTAACTTTGTTTCAAAGCTCTCATAACAAGATTTTCATGTACTCGTATTATATGGTATGATTTATTCTTACGTTGCATGTTCATATTTCTTTCCTACTCATCAGTTTGAGTAAGGCATTGGTACAATCCTAATATAATTTCAACCTCCGCTTTTTTTAACGTGATTGTGTTTGGCAATTTTCTGGCGAGTAGGTAAATAACATGTTTAAAGTTTTAATCTCGTCAAAAATGATTTGGATATCTTTTATGTATATATGTCATGATTCATTCTTACGTTGATGTTCATATTTATTTATTTCATACTCATTAGCTAGAGTAAGGCATTGGTAAAATCCCGACTTATAATTTCAACCTCCGATTTTTGAACGTGATTATACTTTCCTGGTTACTTTGTAATTTCCTGGTGAGTAGGAACGTACTAGTAACATGTTCAAAGTTTTAATCTCGTCAAAAAATGATTTGGATGTTGTTCACGCCCTCCTCCATCAAATTAAAGATTTTCCGGGCGCGCTATCACCAGAAAACCTCTTAATTACGGTGTAATTATTGGCACAGCCCGATAATTATGACATGCAGCCCTGGGGGAGGGGGGCTTTTTACAGGCGATAGGAAACGGGGAACGACTGATACAGCAACTGGGGACTCTGGGTACGAGATTTATCAGAACAATATTAATTTCGACGGGACGACTTTGCTAACTTCAGACGTTTACATACCATGTGCAAGGCATCTAAAGCCTTGGGAAAATGTTGTGTTTCCTGTATTTTAGGGTCGGTAAGGAGGGATAATCTTTCTTTTCTTTTTTTTATTAGACTTTGGCGATCTCAAGTGGTCCAACTCATACGATGCAGTTTAACAAAGAGAACTTGCAGGACACTTATATTCTCAATTACAATGTTGGGAAACCGATTGTACAATGTTTAATCGTTTAGGTGACAGATTATAGAACTAGAAAAGGTCGATCATCTTGAAAAATTGAAAAAAAAGTAGTTGTTACGGTAAAAAAAACGGTCAAATTTCTAAACCTTGGCCTTTTTCCGTGATTAGGCCATGTTGATTTGATTATATGGATGACATCCGCGCGCGCATGAATTTTCGGCCGTTTCCAAAAAAAAAAAGTTTTCAACCATACTGTAAATCGTACAAAACAGTTGCAAATGAGCAAAAATATACCATAAGTTACAAAAAAAATTAATAAAAACTATACCAATGTCGTAGAATGCCAAAATCAAACGAAAAAAGACGAAATTGTAAAGAAATGAACTTGAAGACTAGATTATTCGCCAAACCATATTCTGTGCCATTTGCTCAACCCTCATGACCACGTAGATTTCATAATGAAAACAACTTTTTTTTTTTGCAAAACTTTTTTTTTATTCGCACGCGCGCATCAGTTTTGGGGCTCCCGGAGGATGTCATCCATATAATCAAATCAACATGGCCTTATAAAAATCTCTGAAAAGTTGTGAAAGTGAACAAATTCATTAAGAGTACTGAGATCACTACTTACAAGCGCTCATTTGTCACTGTCGTCTGCAATCTGTCAGTCTCAGAACAACATGGCGCCTTCCTGCCGAGATGACGTCACAGCCTCATTATTTATGCATATTATCGAGTGCCCGGATGTTGAGCTAATAATCAGGCCAATAAAGAATCTGTCCGTAATAAAGTACAAGGCCACCTCAGCAGGCTAGGTTCGGGCAACTGATTACAAAAAAGTAGTAAGAGAAAACCTGGAAGAATAAGCTGAATGACAGAAAAATAGTACTGAAAAAGCTTTCCATTGAGTAGAAATCATTATTAGGTACCAGCCACCGAAGCTGGTGTGTTACGCCGAAAGGCGGTTATATCGGTTATACAGATACAGACAGAGATCATTTTGGTTACATATCACTGTGTTTAGTATGTTATTTGTCAGTCATCTTTAGTTATTTATAGCACGACATGCCGAAAATGACTTCTAATGACGAAGGCGCACGTAGAAAAATGCAGTAAAGCTGCCTGTAGCGAACAAGCCATGTACATACTAGTGAAACGACCTGTTTTGCTGAATGTCTATGACAAATAAAGTTTATTCATCAAGCAAGCATCTTTGCCTTACAGTATACTATGGAATAGGGTTTACAAACATGACCAGAGAACTGACTTTGAAATCCAGTTTTGCCGCTCTAAAATTGCATTGGACAAATCCCAAAGTCCCAAAGATGCTACACAATGCCAATGACCTATAGTACTAGTAGCAATGCCAGCACTGTACAAGATTAGAACCTACTACCAATGCTTTTCGACATTTGATCATTTTGAACAGGCTTTATCTGACAGCAACTAGGGGAGATGAACACCTCTACTAATGCCTAGCAAGTTCAATATGTGTGCATATTTAGTGAGCCCCATTAAGGTTCTATCATTTATCGCAGCAGATAATCTAATAAAGATGACAGCTTCCTTTTATCATGTCGCCTTGCAATCATGTCTTCTCGGGTTTAATCATGTTAATAATGGTTAGTGCCAGAAGGCGACGGGAAACATTTATTCCTACACGGCTTTTAATTCCGTAACGTTAACATGTGAACATCTGTCTAGCGTGGACTTCAGTTTCGTGGAAGAATGTCAACTGTCAATGCATGATACAGCAACGTTGTATAGAGAATAGGAATACGTACTCGGATACAGTACAAAAGGATGATTTCTAGATGATATCACCCGGAAAATTTTGCAAAATGAACGTTCTGAAATGGCATTTCCTGCGTTTTTGAGAGGTTTTCAAAGACGAAATCAGAGATAACTGTTTCACACAATTCATGTTGATTCGATTAGAAATTAGTAATCTGATACCGTACAAAAAAGATGCCCTGATCCTAGATAATATGTTCTTGTAATGTGTTACAAACTTTTGGTCTTAATATTTCTTCATGATCAAACTAAGCGGTTGTTTATGTATGTGATTACGTTCTTGTAATGTATTGCAAACTTTTGGTCTTAATATTTCTTCATGATCATATTAAGGATTTTTAATCTTCGCACAACATAGCTCTCCTGTGGACAGTCTAATATTCCGTTATTATGATAAATAGATTACATTCCTTTCCGGAGGAAGTATAACAGTCGCTCACGTCATTAGTGTGTGACGTAACAGTGACGTCCTGTCCGATGGCTCCTCCCACAAATTCTGCGAGGGGCGTGGCCAAAAAACGTCAAAGGCTAAAGCCGCGTAGGCGGACAACGGTATATCCGAATAGGAGTTTTACAAACGAGTTGCAAACTTCGAGCCAACTCGATCATAGACTCGTGATCAGTGAGGATAAAAGGTGGTGTTTGGAGAGAGCACTGCTCACAAACTAAGCAGGATCCGGCGGTCGAGAATGAAGTCTTTGTGGTGCGTAGCGTTCCTTCTATCCGTAGCGGGCCTGCTAGCCCCATCCAGGGCCGACAAGGGGCAAGAGCACTGGCAATACGGTGGGTGGAATCCTTTCCAATATTTTCCTTGTATGTAACACTACGATGGTTTCTCTGAATGTTTGCAATATGTTTTAGTGATGAAAAATGTTCAAACCTTTGCTAATTATTTTAGTTAATTGGGTGGCAATGTCATTCACTACAAATACGATCAGATGGAAAAAAATGTTGCATGGCAGGATCTTGCTTCGAATATATATGTGAATGTATGACCACGTATAGTCAATAGTCAACTAAATGCCTATTTGGTTAATGTAAAGAGATTGTGTAGACAGGATACATTTCCTGGCTACATTGCAGGGCTAAGGGTCGTTACATTCTACGTATTATCTCTACTTGATATTTTCCACGTTTGCTACTTATAAGTGTCTGCTATTGAGCTGCAATTTTGTATTAGCATCTTTTTGCCGTGTCACAGAACGTTGTTTAGTAGATAAAAATAAGCAATCGTCAACACAACAAAATTTCGCTTCTCATTGAGAAGCCATTTTCTAAGAATTCAGTCTTGCTCAATGTATGTCATGTCCCATTAGAATAGCTTTCAATCTAACGTAACTTCTTTAATGTTTTCCTAACTATCCAGTTTGCTTGACAATCAGACAACCAAACGTTTGCTTGTATCGTTTCCTCTTGAATCGTTTTCGCATTCCTTGTGACCTAGCGCAGGCTAACTAAAACACAACAATCCCAAAACGTATAGCCGCTGCACTCCTAACGAAGAGAATATGTTCTCATGCATTCTAAAATACGGAAATTGCTTTGCTGCTCCTTTGGGTCACATTTTGCAGTTCTTAGGGCCTCTCTGGGATGAAAATAACGCACTGGCGCACACCAGTCTCCACAGCACGTTTTAGCAAGTACTTAACCGGTAATCCTGGCATAAGTGGCTTGACACAACAGAAACGTCCGTGTCCACTTCGGTGTCAATCATCCGCAAATGTGTCATTATCTCATTTTCCCTCCGCGAATTGGGTCACGTTTAACATAACATCAATATGTTTTGTTAGACGTATTTCTCCATGTCCGAAGAATCAGGATCTGTGATTGGCACATACAATTTATACAATAGAAAACCATAAAAAAAGCTCATCTTTGCTTTTGGTGATCGATTCGTAGATGTATGGACCTTGTTTAACGAACACAACAAGTCTTTCATCATCCAAAATATAATTTCATCTTTACTGCAAAAGAGTATAATAGCTTCTGAATATTATTAAAGGAATATTTCCTTTGGTGCCATCTATGCATCCAGACTGGCTAATTATCTTTATTGCCGTGCTATTGGCGCCATGTGCTCTGGCTGAGGGCATAGTGTCCGGCTATATAACGGCCAGTTGGAGACCTTTATGTGTCCCACGCTAAAAAGCTCGGGGCAGTCTTCAATCTTACGACAAGGACATGACAAAGATAGCAAAACCAACTCAAGTAAAGCTAAGCTTTAAAGTTTTTTTATTATTATATGTTTTATTGCATTTCACATGACATAGATACACATAAACACAAGACGAAAAGACACAGAAAAACATAATCAACGGATCCAGGGAAAGACAAGTACAGCGGTGTGACATGTAGAAATTACATAAAGCTGAATATAAAGCTTTAAAGTTCATCTTTGTTGGCAGAATGCATTCTCCAGCAGACTCTATTCACCAGCACAAAAGTAAAAGTTTCATTCACTTAAATCGTTGACCAAAGAACACAAATCTTTGTCAAAGAATGAGTTCACTTTTCATGACTCTCCATGACTCTCCATGATGAACTACTACAGAACAGCTAAAGTGTGCTGTTCAAGTTTGCTGTCTTGACAGCTCATGAGGGCGGTACTAACGACGCCACAAAGGACAGCACAGGATACAGCAAAGGCGGTCTCAATTAGCCAAAGTTATAAGTCCTAAAATCAGCCGAAAGGTTTAATTGTGCTGTCCAAGTTTGCTGTCTTGACAGCTCATGTGGCCGGTACTAACGACGCCACAGACAAAGGACAGCACAGGATGCGGCAGTGGCGGTCTCAATTAGCCCAAGTTATCAGTCCTGAAGATCAGCCAAAAAGCTTTGCGACGCGGAATGACAGCTACGTGCGCTGTCCAAGTTTGCTGTCTTGACAGCTCATGTGACCGGTACTAACGATGCCACAGACGAAGGACAGCACAGGATGCGGCAGTGACGGTCTCAATTAGCCCAGGTTATCAGTCCTGAAGATCAGCCAAAAAGCTTGTTGACGCGGAACGACGGTTACGTGGCCCGGCATCTCGTACGTGAAGACCTGAAATGTCATGGGGCGACGTCCCCAGAGTACTGCCCTTAATGGAACGGGCTGTCTGATGCGATGGGTGTCAGTCCATCTGAAAATTGCCACTGACGATCTCTGCGCAATACGTTTTACGCCTGCCGACATCCTCCAATAAAACCATGCTGATGCTTTTTATATCACGCCCGTCACGAATGTAAAAAAAAGGTCCCGTTCCACTCTGTGCAGAGCATAGGGATGGTGCCCATCTCCATTTCTGTAGCCCTTGGGCCACATAATTGTGCAAGTACTACAGCAGGGGGCTAGTCCGCTTGTAGTGTTGTGTGTTCGACCTTCCCATACTCTTTCTCATAGATGCTCAGTGCTACTACGCAGAGAAAGCAGTATGTACAAATTTTAAAGTCTTTGGCATGACCCGACCGGGGTTTGAACTCACGACCTCCCGGTTGCAAAGCGAGCACTCTTCCCGATTGAGCTATTTCAACGATTGTAAACTCCAGGCAAACTGTTGTAGCCTGTAAACCACTCCTTTTCATTAGTCGTTGAACACCGCTGAGCTACTCCGCGGTATACAGAAGCATCAGCCGTTTAACGCTATCAACGTTCCATTTGCCGGAGTGATAAAACCGCACAGGATATACCCCGGACCAATAAAAAGTACATTTAGGAAGTCTATTATAATCTCGTAACCATTAACGCTATGGTATCTACGGCATACTGGCAGTAAGTCTTTGATTTAACAGTATTTGTAGTTGTTTCATAGGTGATCTTGCAAAACAGCTAGAAATAAAGAGAATAGTAATTCATTGTCACGATCTTCAGTGGGACTACATAAACATTGCGGCTAGAATTCTTTGCCAACGTTTTAATAAGTGTTAAAGTCTAGGTGTTACCTCTATTAAAGTGTAGTATAGGAAAGTGTGCATATGTTTTTGCCTGTATGAATTTTAGCTTTAGACCATATGCATTTCAAGAACATCACATAACGAGTGTGATGATTCATAATGTTTTTAAATTTTACCCAAATGTTGCTTTCAGTCGAGATGTGTATTAATTTAACCCTGGGATCATCAAATATATAAAAAAACATAATCTTATCCATATTTTCTTAACGTGCAAGTCTATGACCAGAGCTCTTTAGGCCCCCTAAGAAAAGTAATGTTGTTACATGAATTTTGTCATAATTGTGGTCATACATCTTTTGCAATGAAAGCTACCCTCTAGTCCTCGAGCTAATGCTGATTATATTATTGACACTCGCGGGGATGCAAATATAAAAGTATCAATGAAATATTGCCGCAATATTTTTGGTAATCGTTTCTAGCTACGGACCACTAGTGAAGCATATTCGCAGCATCTGCTAATTACATTTTGCAATATGCTACATTCTTTGATTTAAGGTCTAGAATAAGTACAGATGCCACATCATTTTATAGTGTTTGTTATTAACCGTATGTACGTGTAACTCATATAATCAGCTTGTATGTCCTTGGGCATTACGAACTTGGACGAACTTTAAAAAAGACACCCAATGCAATTTTAGGACGACAAAACAAGAAACATTCTGGATTAGGAAATCTGATAATGACATTCACAGCCATTTTAGCACATTTACAAAAAAACGAACATTATTATACAAACGTCGTGCATTACAGAGCAAAGATTATTTCTTTTTACATACGTTCTAAATGCTTTTAACTCTTTCCCTCTCCATTAGGTAAAGAATGGTTTAAGGCAATTCATGACAACAGGACATCTCCCATTAGATTTACCACCTAATATCTCAACTCATTAAACAGCTAGTGGCACTAAACAAATGGGAAGCTGTCAAATTAATTGATTAACCTCTCTTGTTGCTTATGTGTCAAGGTACATTCCCATGCATCTGTCTAGATAAATTGTTTCAACACGATATACTAAAGAGCCACAGCAAATACATTTTATGGATGACATCCTCCGCAGACTCCACATCTAATGCGATAGGGCGAAAAGAAAACAAGGCGGGACAAAAAACAAACAAGATTCCTAAATTTTCAAAATCAATTCCAAAGGAAGATTCATAGAGCACACAATGGGTACCTGAAATGTAGAAACTAATGGCCAAATAGGGAGTATGAAGTACATGTTGCACTTGTGAAGCGTAACGGTAGTGTGTTCGACTCGGAACCAAGCGGTCCCAGGTTCGAACCCTGCCATGCTACCGATGTTGTGCCCTTGGGAAAGGGACACTTTCCTCACTTAGCTCAGGTTAAAATGAGTGTACTGTCCTTTGTGTTGGTGGTAGCATAAAAATAAGTTGCAAAAACTTGAGTGTGCCGTCACCACGTCTTGTGATTACATGTTGGAATATAAAAATGCTGCAGTGCAGAGTAGAAGTGAGTTGATGGAACTGTTTCAGTTGCCACCTACACACGCATCACTGCTAGGTTCACGCTTCCCATGATTGCCGCTACATGTATGTGTCAAACACGGAGGCGTTTGACGACTAGTTTTATTAAAGACGTAAGAATCATGATGACCTGACCATTAGAAAAAGGGGACCTTCGCTGAAAAGGGGTGATTTTGGGTCATGGAAAGCCATTAGCCGCGGCCTTTTCCTTCTTCGTTTGTCATATCATGTCCTCATGACAGGAAATGCAGCATACTTCACTGTCAAGTCAATCCTTTGTGGTGAACCCTCTCCCGCACACAGCTTTTCCTACAGCTATTTATCTTTATTTCCTGGTCCGTGGATGTCGTTATCACCAATCGTTTACTAAAGCCTGGATGTACAAGATAGGAAATTGCCAACTTCTGCAACAAAAGGTCTTCCGCCGTTCACTTATAATTTCTTTCTCACCATGACCTTTTTCGTAAAGAGCACACACGTCTACCATGCTGAGTGGAGCTTGTTATGTTCTGAGGCTTCGTCTCTGGAGCTCTGACCCTGTTATCACCTTACGGTATACACCATGTGCAGATTGTGGAGTAATTGGCCACATTTATTCCAGAAAGGCTTTTCACATTTGTACGCGGCGTGTTTCATGATCTTGTGATGATCCCTCGTTCTACCAACGAGCTTTTTAGTAAACTTTTACCGAGAACTTTGAAAGCCTCTTGCCATTATATGGGATAAAACGATACAGGCATCAAAGCAAAATATTATACCCTTGTTGTCTCTTGTTTCAAGGTGCAGCGTACGTGATCCGTTTGAGAGATTTCATCAAGTATTTGAAGAGGAAATACAAAATTTATCATTTCAAAAACCATCTGGTAACACCGAGATACCTCAACAGTAGGCCTCACGTATTGGAGATGTGAGTCGTTGACCAGACCGAAAAGGTCATCTTTTTTTAAAAAGCTTAACCTTAACCTCAAATAAGCAATATCATGGGATTTAGCTAGATATACTTGTCTGGAATCTTCATTATTCTTCGACCAACCTTGTAATAAAGTTTTACCCGTGAGAAATAAGATCTGATCTGGTAAGAGGTAAGACATGTGTATTAAGTCAATGATATGTCAAAGAACAACGTTTTTCCAGCTATGATGAACTTATGTTTTCTATTCAATCTGTTCGGTTGGCCCAAAGCCACGTCTATGTCTACCCAATAATAATTGAAAAGGCTGTATATTTAAGGGCTAGCCCGAGAGTCTAAAGATGCTGATTGCTACAACAGATAATGTAAAGTAACTTGTAGACTAGATATAAGTTGGAGTAACAAGTAATCCTAGGGACAGACATGAGTGTTTTTGTGCAATTTGTAAAAATCAGTAAAACAGTAATGCATAGTGTAGTCTGCTATCATATGGATGCTTTATGGATATGCTAGGCGTAAAAGGTATATACAAAGCACGTATAAGCGAGTCCACAACCTGGACCAGATCACTGCATCTTTCTCAAAAAGACACTAAACGTTATATGATGCATTGCTCTGACCGTCGTTGTAATGTATGTGGTAATCTCTACCATTTTTATGTTACAGGTCATTCATGCTTGCTAAAAGTCATGAGAATTTTGTGCATTTATTATACAGGTCATAGGAAGGTTAGTCAAAAGTGACTGTCAGTGTCCGAGAGTTAGGTATAAGTGCAGGGTTTACAGTATCCATGAGAAGCCCAACGAAAAATGCGGTTTTGATTTCAGTACTAAAATGAATTTGCACTACAATATAATAAAGTTTCTGTGCATGTTATGAGATTCTTACAGGAAGCTAAAGGATTCTTCCTGTAAGAAGCTTTAGCTTTAGTTTTTTGAAAGTCCCTAAAAGCTAATTGTCTGTACCTAGAATAAGTTTCTCAAACCAAGATTAAATCAGAACGAAAAATAAGCCTCTTGAAGCTAGAATAATGTTCTTGTACAATAATTAATTTTTTTCCAGCATTAAAAATTGGAATGGGTTTCTTGATATATGTTTCATATCATGGAAAACCATTCTTTCTTCAAGAAAAGATTTCTTATACGAAGATTAAGGTTCTTGCAGCTGGAAAACCTATAACTGCATGCATGTTTGTGCCTCTTTGTTAATCCATCCACGGTAAAAGATCCGTAACAAACAGCTAGCTACAATCGTACATATGTTGTCACCATCATGGTGCTTCTAGCGATCCTCTGTGATCAATGTTGACATATCAATGTTAACATCGTATCGATCCATGCTCTAAATTGCCCCAATTTCAAATCGACTAATGGACTGATTCAAGCCTCCAGTCTAGAATAAGTGGATAAAATAGAACTCATCAAAGATGGGCAATTTGAAGAGTTTAGGGTGTTTCTTCGTTGAGTGGACCAGTAAGGGTATGTCACGTTAATTGTTTCCCATTAAGACTTCTTGATGTTCATAAAATTACCCCAATTTCAAATCGAATAGTGGACAGATTCAAGCCTCCAGTTTAAAATAAGTGAATAAAATGAAAATCACCAAAGATAGCCAATTTGTGGAAGTGTTTTTGGTGTTTCTTCGTTGAGTGAGTCAGCGAGGTTACCTTTTAGTCACATCTGTTTCCCATTGAAACTTCTTGATGTGCCTCAAATTGCAACTCGAATAATGGTCTGATTCAACAGTCTAAAATAATTGGATAAAAGAAAAAAATCATCAAAGATAGCCAATTTGTGGATGAGTTTTGGATATTTCTTCGTCGAGTGAACCAGTAACAAGTTACGTTTGTTTCCCATTGAGACTTTTTGATGTGCCTAAAGTTACTTCAATTGCAAACCGAATATAATGGACTGCTTACGGTCTAAAGTAAGTGGATGTATCATCACAAATCATCAAAGATAGCCAATTTTGTTTGAAGAGTTTGACTCGTCGTTAAGTGAACCAGTGAGGTTACCTTTTATGTGAGGTCACATTTCTTTCCCATTGAAACTTTTGTGATGTACATAATGATTGGGATTGAATGGCATTTTTGTTCTGACTTATTCAATACAGGTGAAGAAAGTAAAACGCGCACGGACACCAAGTCTTATTACCTTCGCCAAGAAGGTTATGTTTTCAGAGGCGTTCGTGTGTGTGTGCGTCTGTAAACATCATTTGGCGAAGGTATGAGATCGGGGAACTCTAGTATTTTCAATGCCAATGTTAGAAAATGTTTCATCACTCAGTTGCTAGCTATATAGGAGCAGGATCATGGAGCTAGGAAAGGTCGATCAGCTAAAAAAAATTATGTCCCTTCCAGGGGTCCACACAAAAAAGGGTAGGGTCGGTAGCTTTTTCTAAGGTCGGTCAGGAAACACAACATTTTTTCCTGGGCCTAAAAAATTGACGCACACTCTATATTGTGCTGACCAGTCAGTTATAGGATATTGAATTTATAGATTTAAACCCTCGTATCTCTACTTTCTGGACGTCGCCTGAAGAAGCATTCATCTCTATTTATATCTTGTGTCTGCATCTGTGCAGCCGATGTAACCGCCCTTAGGCGTAAACTCACACTTTAGTTCACAGGCACGCGGCGCGGCAGCAGTTGTGCGGAACAATCGCGACCTGTCACACCTACCCTTTGCACATATAGCTTCAAGCGTTGTAAAGAACTATCTAGTCTGTGTGCACGTGCCTCTACTGCACTTGGTGGCAAGGAGTCCCACTCTTATTGATTGGTGTAAGGCCACACCAAGTAAATTTTAAGGATGACGTCCTTTGGAGACCCTAAATCTAATGCTAGAGGGCGAAAAAAAACAAGAAGGGCCCTAAAAAACAAGCTGCCTAGATTAGAAATATACTAAGAAACGACAAATGTTAAGACACAAATTGAATGAGGTGACACAGTGTAACAAGCAAGAAGTCTTTTATTCGTCGTCAAAACAGCAATAAATCAGGTGGAACAGCAGATGTCGTCCTGTCCTGTTTCTTTCATCACATTTGTGCAGGCCTGCAGAAACAAAGCATAAAATTGCGGCACTGTCTTCACTCTTTGGTCATAGTTACAGGAAGCGGAATTTCTTTTTTTTTTTTCTAGGAACAGGCCAAAATCAATGCGCGCGCGGACGTCATCCATAAAATTTACTTGGTGTGGCCTAAGGAAAAAAACAAGTCAACAAAGACCTCCCCACCTTTTGGGATCTGCTGACATGACAAGATTTATCAGTCCATGTCAATACACTACTTTAGGGGGTCCCTAAGGTATCTGAACAGAACGTATCTGTGAGACTTAAGTTTTCAATGTTAGCCTTACACACAGCATACAAAAGCCTATTTATAGCTTGCTTCTAATGCTAAGGATGTACGTTAAGACGCAAATGTCTTACTGTAAGAAAGGAAGTCCTAAGACAGTGCCAATTAGACTCTGTGTAGGCGTTAAAGGGCTTAGCAAGTATCTGTATAATCTCTTGATAAGCTAAAACAGTTGTAGTGGATCGATGTACAAATGTTGCTTGTAAAATGTGTGCTTTATCTGGTCTACACATGTGGTTGTGTATCGATTAAACAGTTTGTAGTTCGTTATGGCAATAGTGATAATCATTGCAAAGGAAGCATCTGTATGTGAAAACGTTTACCAATGTTTATGTTTATGTTTAGAATAAAAACAGGAAGATGATATTAAGCTCAAAGATATAGGTTTAAAAGAACATATCCAGATTATGAATATAATCTAGTTTGAGCACAACGAAATTTATGTTGTGTACTAAACACACCAAAACATATAATTCCTGTATAGAGTTGTGTGGAAACTAAAAAAATAAAAGCCATGCAAAAACATTTCATTGAATCTCACCCACTGTATTTAAAGTCTGCTTTAGAAAACGGGCTCGGCAAGCAGTAGAAACCACCCTTGCGACGTTTATAGGAACTGCACCTGGTAAATACATCTATTAACTCTCACTATTCCCTCACCCATAGGCCATTGGTACGGAAAGAGGGACCCTTCTAACCTCAACAACGCACAGATTGATGACGTACTACGCACTTCACCCGAACTACAACAGCTCATCAGCAAGTTGCTGGAGTTGAACCGCAGGCCCAAGTCGTCATCACAGATGTACACAAAATATGATGACGACTACCCTGACGGTGATGACGTGTCCGACACCACAAAGTCCGGGCCGCCATCTTGGAAAAGAGTGGTATGTGCCTGATTGTTGTTTTTTTCGCCAAAACACTCTAACTGCGTAAAGATGTTCCTAGAAATCTTATTTACTTATTTGTTTGTTCATCTTGGGAACAGGTGGGTAGTCTTTAAACTGGTTTAGGTTGGAGCCCACAAAAAATACAAATAATAAATTACAAATAATAACATAAATCAAAGTACTGTTAACATAGGTGGGTAAATCAAATTGGTGGTCATTTCAAAGGAATATATTCGGTAACTCATAACAACATAGATAGTAATTACATAAAATAATAGAAGTAAATTAATTAGAAACCCCCAAAAAACACTTATCGATATTACTTACCGTGTATTTTGTGCTACGTGTCGGCAGGCAGACGAAATGGCGAGAGACGGCTGGCTACTGAGGGGCCATCCATCCATGAGGAAGAAAAGAGCTGCGGAGAGGGATCCAATATGGCGTCCATGGTGACGTCACAAGGTCACGCCCTGGGTCACTCGTATCTCCGGTTGTCGAATGTGTGTCTGGTTGTTTAATGATAAATTTCCGGTCAGAAATGTCTGGTTTTGAGGCAAGAAGTTGAGTCGTGTAGCTGAACACAATAACACTGTTCAGACCGACCATATGCCAAGGGTGACAAAACATCAAAGACTATTTTGTCTAATATGTTGCACTATAAAATCGGAATTCAGATTGTGTCCTAAAATGTCCTAAAATATGTGCAGGTTGAAAGATGTAAAATACCTTTGTGCGTTAACGAGCTTAAAAAACGCTGCATTCAAAACAGAAACAGAAGAATGATACTTGGAAAATATATTCATGTTTGAAATCTTGTGACCTTTTGGAAGGTCACTGTGATATATGTTATGGCAAAAACTTGTGTTTCGCATGCGTTCATTATATGAGAAACCGGAAAAATAAAATCACTGTTTCATCGTTGAACATTAAATGTGCTGCTCACTCGGTATTCTTGCTTTGTCGTTGTAGATTCTGTGTTTGTTCGTTCGTGCTATGTCTGATTCCCGGGTAGTGGTTGTTGCGGACTTCGCGTTTTGGACGGTCTAGTTCAAGTCGAAGCGTCCTCTACCGGCACGTAAAAGAACAGCAATGCCAAATCACTTTCAGTCTTCACATCGCTGTGCTCAATGTCCTTCGGATTAAAGCCCTTTTATAAATCATAGCCAATCGCTGATTAGCTGACAGGAATTTTCTTTTAAATTTGATCAAATCAGCCAAAATCTTCTGATAAATTTTCAAACTTGCACACAAGCATGTTGAAACACTTGCAATCATTTGAAATATCACGTATCAGGACTACATGTTTTTAATGTAGAATATTTCCTTGCTGATTCTTCCCCGATTTCACGTATACATCACAATTAACAAGTATGTAATTCTGAGGAAACAACGACTGCATACACACAACACTAGTTCCACACAAAACTATACAATATTCACTAAGCAGGAGAAATATCCATGTTTTGACGTTATAGGTCTCACACAACTTGCAATGTTCTTTTAAAATCTTTCATCCTCTCTAAATCTACATATTGTAGCTTTGCCATTTATTTCATTCTACTGTGATACAAAGTTGCATTGGGCAATCTTATGTTCTTCCATTGCATGGACAACAAAACTATATCAGAAGTCTTTCTTTACTTCTTTGTGACAAACATAACGTTGATCCCATCATTGCAGTATACTTGGAAATTAAACTGCGTTTAGGCACCAGAACCATCAGCGCTTTGAACAAATCACTATTACGTTAGGAAGATACTAAATACGTTTAAACTTGACTTCCTTGGTTGTAACATTTGGTCCATCAATTATTGTACGTTACAGGTATTATATGTCTTCTCTTGATACCAGAACCATACGTATAAGAAGCAAATCGGATATAATTATGATAATCTTATCATCCTTCTTCTAATATCAGTCTACATGACATATCCACATCCTTGAGTTAGTCTTGAGTCTAGGTCTATCTGACTAAGCTCCTGTTTTAACACTTCAGTTTAATACTTTCCTCTTTCTGGCTAAACAGGTTACAGCAAAACTTTAGGACGCTCTTCTCTGACTATCACTCTATGTGAGAACCTGGCCACATTATGTGATCGGTTATCCTATTTGTAAAACATAGGCTCTTGGTAGGGTGCCTCTGCACGGGCAGCTGACCGCCGCCATCTTGGAGAGGATGGGAAGCCCCTCTTCGCCGACCCCTGCCGAGTTCCTTCTAACAGCAGGGACTGCTTCATCAGTTCTTCTGCCTGGAATGACAAGCAAAACAACATTTATTTCATTGTTACAAAGTTTACTTCAGCCATTCACAGAGAAAGATTTTTGTCTACAAGTGACTTAACCATCATCTTCAGGGTGAGTGACCCACCAATGCAGACACGTGACCTTGCATGCATGTGTCGCCGTCAAAGTCGTTTATAAAGTCTTCAAAAGTCAACACCACTCTTTGTTTCCTCTGTTATGCTAAGCGATGATAGGCTCTGATATAATCTTTATTATCATTTTCAGGAAAATTAGGAAACATTAACGGTAATCACATGCGACCGTTGCCACTGAAGATTCGTAAGCAAACCCTAGGAATCAGTATGCATGCGAGAAAAGAAACTGTCCGTTTTGAATGATTCTTTCTTTCCTAGGACAGTATGTGCTGTGCAGTCTGTTTAGAAGAAACATATCTTGGTTTTTGTCACACTGTGCAATAGATACCTTTAATTGTTGTTAATAGATTTTTTGGGATGTTCACATAATCTATTCAGTGTACATGGTACATGGTGGCAGATATTTGCCTATCGATTTTGCCAGTTTTGGCACGAAGCACAGAACATTTTATTTTATGGTCTTCAAAATGCTATGGCAAAAACCTTCATGTCAAATGTAACATTCAATGTTGATGTAGTGCCAACTCCGGGGTTTTGTAATAGCTGTTTTTTTTAGAGTGGTTGCAAAGGGGGTTTTCAACAGTCATCAAAAGAGATTAAAACCCTTCCCCATCATCCACAAAGATACCCACTGGATCACTTAACCCCCCTTCTGAGGACGGGAGAGAATTCCTACGTAAGTGGTGTGATGACACTCAAGTGATCAGTGGATGGTTCCCACTTCTCTACTTTAAGCTCATTCTAAAAGTGCCAAATGGTAAGTGTTTTTCCTTGGTGGCTGGGGAAACCTAATGGATATCAGGAGCCTCTCGCCATGAGGAATTGGTAGACACTTTCAATGTTTCGTAACGGTGGGAAGCTGTCAGTTTTCAAAAGTGTCATCTCAAGTTTCATAACGGTGGAAAACTGTTTTCAAAACTGTCATCTCAAGTTTTATAACGGTGAATATAACTGTCATTTTTCAAAACTGCTGTCATCTTCTTGCTGGTGTATTTATTTTATTCACATTTATTTTTCGAGGATTGGGCAAAAAGTTGTAAAACTTATCTTGGCCCTCTCCTCACACATAAAAGGAAACAATAAGATAAAGTAATAATAATAATAGTAAGAAAGAACAAAGGTACATAATGAGCTGGTGTACAAATCAAAATCAATCAACTAAATCAAACAAAACGTCCTGTCTGCAAAATAAAGTTGAAAACCACATCAAATATTTTACAGTTGTTGACAAACGACAATGAGGGGTTACCCCTGAGGATGGTTGAACATAAAGTGTTGTCAGTGACGTTGTTTGTGTCAAATGGCAGGATGTTATTTAGAGATGATAACATGTCAATACGTTCGTCAGTGTACAGTGGGCAGTGTAGGAAGTAGTGTACAGCTGTTTCATTGGAGTGACCACATTTGCACGCAGGACTGGGCACACATTGATGTTGGAACAGGTGAAAGTTTAACTGACTGCGGTTAAGTCTGAGTCTGGTAAGGTGGATAGCTGGGTTTCTCGGACCATGAGAGAAGTGAGGTTGAGTGTGAGGGCTGTGATAAAACGTCTCTAACTCTTTTTTAAAGATGGCAATTGATGTTGATGCTCGTGTAGTTAATGGCAGGTTGTTCCAGGAAACGATGGAAGTAGGCAGAAAAGATCTTTTGAATTTCTCAGTTCTAGCAGGGATTAAAACGTAATTCTGGTCAGTACGGAGACTGTAGGGGGTGGAGTCACGGGTTTGTAGTGGTACCAATTCCTGTAAGTATTGTGGTGCTAATTCTTGCTGGTGTAGGAAGCGGCGAAATTCCTTGCAACCGAGTGAGTTGTGAGCCCTTAACAACTTCACAATCGTTACTGCAACTTTCTTCATCTGCACCATAAGAGATGAAAGATTCTCTGTCTTGAATGAAATGTTTTGTTTTCAGAAGTTTTCCTTTGAACGGCCTGGGTTGGCGTGTGTCGAAATCGTATAACGCTAACAAGCAACACGTAGGGTCAAAGGATACGCTCTTTGTATCTTTGATCATTATTCAGAAAGAAGTTGTGATTCCGTAAAAACCGCCATTACTATTGACTGCGCAGTTTCAACCATGACTTCTAAGCTACATCATTTGGACAAAGGTCTTTGAAGGTGTCTGCCTTCGTGCCAACTCTAGAGGTAGATAAATTAGTTGGATTTACTGGCTGGCATCCAGTGGCTTAGGCAGAATCCTGCCAATTACTTGGGTACGCATTGGACGACCCCTCGGTCAGTGCCCACCAGAATCTGCCTTTGACTAACGATGAAGGTCAAAATTGTTCCGGTCTGCATGTAGATACCTCACTGTGAGTTCAGTCCTGAATCATTGAACTCTGTTTGTCTCGGGCCTACAGGAGTGTTAAGTGCGGGGTGCTTCAGTCATAGCGTCAGATTTACCAGGAATCCGTTTCTCTCGAGTTTAAGTACATAACGGAATCAAGGGAAGGGGTCACGGGGCAATAGATACAGATGGGCGTTTGACTGCGCGATCTTCTGCAACTAGATGCATGTAGCTAAGATATAGCCATGCTGCTGCCATCTTCCAAACCTATTTAAGTGAAATCATATCCAAACAATAGTAGTTAATGTTTAGACACGAATCTGTTAACAAGTTTAGACATGAATCTGGTTTCTCCAGAGTTGCCAATACCTTAGTAAAGCGAATCCCATGCTTTATGTAAAATGTGCTTTCTAAGTTGCTGTGACATGGCAGAATACACAACAGTCATTATTCATTGCCTTTACTTTGTCAATGCAGGACTTGCTGCTCTCTCGAGTGTTGAAAAAACTATGTATTATTTGAGCAACAGGATCGAAGGCCCTAAGGCTTCTTTCATCATTTATTAGGATGGTACATTAGCAAAATCTTTGGGTGTCTGCCAGATTGCCACAAAACTTCAGGCTTTTACTTTATCCCCAGGGATGTCTATCTTATTTTAGAATGTATAAGGTTCAGTTTTATAACCAGTAAAGTTCATTTTTTTAGGTAGTAAGTTGCAATAACGTTAACTAGAAGCCTACCACCGCTCTCCAAAACGGCGACTCAGACTGCAAAAGACCTTCAACGATAGCAGACAGATCTCGGCCATGTTGGTTGATCTCGTCATCACTGTAGGGGTACCGCTGTGCTGACGTCACCGACCTTGGTGGTAACGCCATCGGTACGTGTTGCACAGGTTCTGACGACGTCACTGAATCCTGTGCCAGCTGTAGTAGTTTGGTGATGAGCCTGTCTGCATCTTCCGGATTTCCTATGATGCCGGAATCCGGAAGTGGTTTTCCGGAGACGTATGTGGGGTCCCTCTTCCCATACCAATGGCCTGTCAATAACAAAATTGTGCAATCAAATTTTAATTCCAGACCTCTAAATAATTTCATTTCATTTTTTTTCAAAAGTCATTAAACAACATACAAAGTAAAGGCCATAGTGGTGGATAACTCGAATCTTAGCCTCACCACTGACAAACACACAATACAATAACAAATATAACAACAGAAACTGGATCATTCTGTAAAATGGAATGTTTGTGTAGGCAGTTTTAAACATTAATATTTAGTCAATTACATTTTTTATAAAGCGTCTTTGAGTCAAGGTTAAAATATTTCTATTGGTTTCCGGACACACGTGGGGTGAATTTGTGAGAAGAATATACCTTAGGCCATGTTGATATGATTATATGGATGACATCCTCCGGGAGCCCCAAAACTGATGCGCGCGTGCGAATAAAAAAAAAGTTTTGCAAAAAAAAGTTCTTTTCATTATGAAATCTACGTGGTCATGAGGGATGAGCAAATGGCACAGAATATGGTTTGGCGAATAATCTAGTCTTCAAGTTCATTTCGTCTTTTTTCGTTTGATTTTGGCATTCTACGACATTGGTATAGTTTTTATTAATTTTTTTTGTAACTTATGGTATATTTTTGCTCATTTTGCAACTGTTTTGTACGATTTACAGTATGGTTGAAAACTTTTTTTTTTTGGAAACGGCCGAAAATTCATGCGCGCGCGGATGTCATCCATATAATCAAATCAACATGGCCTTATCTAGAGAACGAGTGGGAGGTAAGAGAAATGCATCTTCTTTCAAGGTGACAAAAATCGTAAAATATCAAAGCAATATTAATGGTCAAGGATACCAGAATTCCCAAGTGATACAAATTCTCTACTGCAGTGAAGATTCATCTAATCTCGCCGCTGGAAACATCGATTATACGTAAATAATTTATATCCTGCTCTATCATCCCACTATCAGCAGGGTTTATAATCTTCCGGTACTTAGTTCCAGCGGAAACGACATGCTGTACAACAGATTAGGCCACAGCAAGTAAATTTTATGGATGACATCCTCCACAGATTCCAAATACAATGCGAGCGGGCGAAAAAAAACAAGGCGGGCCGAAAAAAACAAGGTTCTTACATTTTGAAATTTTGACTCAATCATTGTACAAATGGTTTTGATTCAATGGGAACATCACATATACACAGCCAACATCACATATCACTGCATCAAAGTAAGAAACAAAACATAAAATCAGAGCCTTGTCTTGTCTCCTCTCTTTATATTTATCTGCCATCCACTTTCCGGCATGGCAACAGACATCTTGGCCTATTTTCGGCATGTTGACCACTGTCAGAAGGCAACAAAATTTCTTGTTTTTTTCCCCAAAATCAGGCGAAAATTAATGCCATCCATCAGATGTCATCCATAAAAATTACTTGCTGTGGCCTTAGTGATTAATCTCGGTTCACAGTAAGATGACTGGATTGTCGGAAATCATTCATAACGATATTATCAAGACAGAAGGACATGACAGAAGAAAAACTATCTATTAATCCGTTTGGCACCATATAATAATAGTTGCATGATATGATATGATGTAATACAACCAACAAGACATCCGTGAATAATTGCACTACGTTGGTAAATGATTGAATAGTGAAGTTCCTTTTTCTCACAATGATGTCTTTTACATGAGCCGACGTTTCGATGACCGTCTGTCATGTTCATCAGGGATGCTATGACTCACACAAATGGTTGTGAAGGAAAGAACTTCACCATTTAAACCGAAAAGACATTATTGATATAACACAAGTGTCTCAATGTCTACGTGCGTTACACTGATCTACAGCAGAGTGACGAAGTTGGCAAGCAACCAGCCAGTCAGCCAACCAAGCACCATTCCAAGATAATCAAGTCATCAGTAACGGAAAATTACATTTTCAACTGCGGTGTTTGTGTTGCCATGTAGAAACACCCCCTTTAGGATAATGGTTTGATCCGATGTACGCATGCGTACTGTGCAGTTGGTTTGAGAGAACAAAGAATACACTCAGTCGTCTCTATGCTCTGGCTTCGCTGGTCGTAATTGCGTTGTCATCTGGAATAGGAACTGTGATCTGGAACGAGGATTGGTAGGGTAACATTTGGAGGTTCTACCGAGATCCTATTTCCTGGAGTAACGGAGCGGATGAAGCGATTGCGACGAAGAAACTGCCACAGACGCCGGAGTGAGAGAGAAAAGTTCGCGCCAAAAGTGGTCACGGGACAAAAGGTCAGAGAGGTCAAATCATCGTAAACAAAACAAAGTTCAAGGGTTAACAAGATGGCGCCGCGGTTGTAAGGGGGAGGGCGACTGCAGTATTGTTGCTACGAAAGAGAGGTTGAAAGTCGGTGCGCTGAATCAAGATTACGGTAGTTTTAGAGGGATATTTGAGCACTACAAGAGAAGTATGGCGGAAGGAGGAAAAGGCGCACAGAACAGTAGTAGTGACGATAAAACATCAGGTCCTCAGACGCCGGAGGTGACGATGAAAAACCTAGTTGATGCCACCACGAACCTGGCACGAGTAGTAAACGGTTGTTTCACTGGGATAGAGCGCTTGGGAGAGAGACTGGCCACTTTGGAGGGTGAATCTGCTGGAGAAGGAAGCCACACTGTAAGAAGAGCACTCTGGCAATCGGAGAAGAAGTCAAGGTGGAAGGTGGATAGCAGCAAGGGCAACCAACAAGCAGGGTCCAACCACAAGAAGGAGTTCAAGATAACAGGACAGGTGGGGCAGCTGAGATTTCAGTCCCTCACATATCAAATCAAGAGTGGTTTGAGGCAGGGATATACAGAGGAGGAGGTGGTAGATGCAGTAATCAGGGCGATACCAGCCGGGTCACCTCTTCGGACTTACCTGGAAGGGAAAGAACAGTTGAACCTCACATTGGTCGAACAGGTGATAAGAGCCCATGGATTAGAGGAAACTGCTACCGACCTGTACCGTAAGTTAAGCATCGGATGCCAAGAAGAAGGGGAGTCTTCACAAGGCTTTGTCACAAGGATGATGGGGCTGAGAGACAAGGTGGTAGAAGCATCAAAGGAAGAAGATGGACTATATGACGCCAAATTGGTCCAGGCGATGTTCCTCCGCTCCGTACAAACAGGCCTGAGGGACAATAACATTAGGATGGAGATGAAGCCGCACCTGGTAGCCAACTCCAACAGTAGCGACATCCTACTGTTGGAGAAGTTGAGCCGAGCCATCGTGGACCAGAAAGAACGGGACGAAAAGCTCGCATCAACAAGCTCACCTCAACAAGCTCACGTCAACAAGGTCACTGTAACAAGCCCGCGGTGCAACCAATGTACACAACAGGGGATGGAGCTGTGCCGTCATTGTTTCAGGTGTGGGGGAAACAACCACATCGCTCGGTGGTGCCGAAACAAGAACCAGGGAAACGCTTCAGGGGCACCCCAAGGGGACGAGGGGTCGTCCTAGGCAGCTCACAACCGTCCCAGAAACGACAACAACAAACAACACCAAATAATAACAATCAACAGCCCTCGGTAACAACAACTAACAACAAACAACAACAACAAACAGCAACAGCAAACAACAATCAACAGCAATCGGTTCACGTCAACGCCATGACTGCGTCACATCTAACACCAAAACAAAGAACTAAAATAACAAAGTTAGTCGGGAATCGGTGCCTGGTGTCGTGTAAGATGGATGACCAGCCAGTCCTGGCATTATGGGACACCGGTGCACAAGTGAGTATCATGACAGATACGTGGAGAGAGAAGAATCTACCAGAGATCAAGGTCAGACCAGTAATAGAGATACTTGAGGACACAGCAAGCCTCAACTTACAGGCGGCAAATGGTACAGAGATCCCATACAGTGGATGGGTAGAGGTCAGTTTTAAACTAAGCGAAGATGACTCACCAGCTATCTCTGTGCCATTTCTGACAACCAACAGCCCTAGTCAGGACCATCCGATAATTGGATACAACGTCATCGAAGAAATCCAAAAGCGTTGTGGGAGTGACTCTGCCCTGCTGTCGAGGGCGCTGCCGGTTCGGCCACAGAGGGCGGCGGCCCTGGTTAACCTGATAGAAGAGTTCAGCGTCCCGAACCCGGCAGGAGTGCGGGTCGGCAGGAAGAGAGTTCGGCTACCACGAGGGGCAACAGTTCAAGTTAGGTGCAGGATTCCTCGCGGCTCAGTGGAGGAGAAACAGATCATGCTGTTTGAACCAGATGAAGCCGGTGATTGGCCCACGGGCCTGGAAGTGGGACCGGCACTCATCCCAGTTAACTCAACGGGGATGATCAAGGTGCCTGTAACCAATCCCAACCAATATGATGTCTATCTGCCGGCAAAGACAGTGTTGGGTCGAGCAGAACCAATACGATCAGCAGTACCGGTTGAGCTGAGGAGAGTGCCTGAGGGATCTCAACACCCAACAACTGAGGACAGGAGACCAGTGAGCGAAGAACCACAGCAAACACCACAGCAAGCTCAAGTAAACACTGTTCAGGCAGAAGATGAGTTGTGGGACCCTCCAGTTGACCTGTCACACTTGAGCGAGGAGCAGAGGAAGATTGTGAAACAGATGCTCCGGGAGGAATCAGGTGCATTTTCTCGAGATGAGTCTGATATCGGCAGTATTGAAGGTCTCAAGCTGAAACTCAACTTGACAGACACAGAGCCAGTGCAAAAGAATTACGTCTCCATCCCAGCACCTCTGTATAAAGAAGTGAGGGAGTATATTGAGGACCTCATCAACCAGGGGTGGATTACCAAATCAAAGTCACCCTACTCCTCTCCGATGGTGTGCGTCCGAAAGAAGGATGGGAGCATGAGGCTCTGCATTGACTACCGCGCCTTGAACGAGAAGACAATGTCAGACAGGCAACCACTACCGAGGATCCAAGACATCTTGAACCGCCTGAAAGGAAGCACCTGGTTTTCCGTCCTGGATCAGGGTAAGGCCTACCATCAAGGCTACATGGATGAGGAAAGTCGGGAGTTCACAGCGTTCGTTACTC